ATTATTGATTTTTCCACACCCTCCTATAAAATTTTGTAACGTAAAAACCGGAAGAACTGATTTTGAATATTTATTATTTCGCTGTATTCTTTTTAACAAATTCGCTTATAATGTAGTTTTGGTTTTAAATCAAGAGTAACAATTTTAATTTTAAACGCGGAAACATATTTAAACGTATAGGTATACCGAATTATTTCAAACTAATATTAATTCTTCCTGTTTCGATTAATGTCTCCTAAAAAAAAATGAATAATAATAATAACAACAACGGGGACCCAGCGTCGTGCGTAGTAATCGTTTTTAAATATACCTACAGAGTATAGAGTGTCGTCAACCGAAATGTCAGATCGCGATTTTGTTCGTTTCGTATTGTTTTTAGTCCAAGTCTCGGCCCAGCGGATCCTATGTAAATTATATAGTATTATGTGGTTATAATATCGTCCAACGATTACGATAAGTAATTTTTAATAAATAATAACCATATCACAATCAATATTCAATATTTTAATATATACTATTAAATATATAGGAACTTAGTGTAAATTAGCAGTCGTCTATAGTCAGATATAGGTACATTTTTTTCTTTCACAAAAAAAAGCTTTTAAGTCGTATTCGTGTTATATCGTATATCAAAGTATATTTATGTATACGCACTGAGTGTAACGCTTGCAGTAAGTTTTTACTTTCATCCTCGCTGACAGGGTCAGGTGTCGGAGCGGCGCAGCGCCGCGGGGATATATCCTCTGCCGACGTCGCCGCCGCCGCCGCCTGCACCTCCGTCAGCCACCGTTATATTACGTTGACCGCTTTTAACGGGTCATTAAAATCTGCAAAATTTAAACGCCTAATGGTTCGTGCGACGTTTTTAAATCGCTCTTTAATCGGGCGACGAAACGTCCGCGAGTTTCTGCAGGACACTTGCAGAATTGGCCGTGATGACTCAAAGTTGTGCACAATTCGCTCGCGCCAAGTCAGCCAACTACAATTTATATAATATTAAAAAGTTTGACCGCTTAAAGGCATTCCGCCGTGGTTGTAGCGTGTTTTCGCTTTCATCCGAATAGTTTCCGCATTCGTATTATTTATTTATTTACTATTTTTGTTTTGTATACATATTTTATATTATATTATACTATATATTTTGAGCTCTGCGGAGATGTAGTCGCAGAAATGTATGTTGCTGGTGGCATATACAATACGATATAAATTTAATGTGTTTATTGTATCATATTATATACGAACGAATCGTCTCTGCTGCAGAAATGCTGTGGCGTAACGCCAATGTACATGCGCGCACAGGCGTATAATATACGTACCTATACCTGAGACCATTATAATATAAACGCGTGAATATATGTGTTTTATAACAATACGAGACGTGGCGATAAATCATCGTACGGGCGGCGGTTACCGATCAAGGATTTACGGAATAATATTTTAAGCGTCCGCCGCGTCGCGGGAGAAGAGAGAAAAACGGCAGCATAAAAGGCTTTCTACCCTCCGCGCCGCCGCCACCACACCGCCACACCTGTATACATATATATACCTGCCACGCCGAGGACGACGACGACGACGACGATGACGATGAGGCCTGGGCCGCTCGCTCTGCATACATAGGCCGGAGCGCTGCCGATCCGGCGTCGGTGGTGGCGGTTTTTCTAGAGAAAATCTGGGTAGGTTTACATTTTTTTACAGCCTCCCCCTCCGCTGTGCCTCATCTGCCACACCACCGACTCTTTTCTCTTCCGCTGCCGCCGCCGTTACCACTCGCTCTGATCACGGCGCGCGTGGGCCCTCAGCTTCCGACCCGCGTTCGGTATTGATTCGGCGCTCATAAATTACATTTGCCTAGTAAAATGAGAGAACGACACCGCCGCCGCCACCGCTCTGTCATTGGTCGTGTGTAGGAAGCGGGGTGAGACGGCGGTGCGAGCGCGGTGGCGACGACGACGAAGAAGGAAGCGGTGGCAGTGGCGTATATATGTAGGCTCGGCGGACGGGAACGAACCGTATTCCTCCGCCGCCTGTACACAGTACAAACACACACACACGTACATATAAATTATATACGCGCGCGGGCGAAAACGAGCGGTGGCGTATATATACTCGCGCGGTGCGTGTGCGAAGGGGACGACGAAAAACGCCGAAGTGCTCGATACCCCGGGGGTAGTAAGGTGCGCGGATGAACGAGAGCGGTGGCTAGGTGGGTGGCCTGAGTGGTGGGTGGAGGGTTGGGGGCGAGGGTGGGGCGGTCGGAGGGATTCCCGGGGATCCTGTGCGAGTGGGGACCAAAACGGAATGAAAGTTGAATAACAATGTTCACTATTTATAGTAGTGTGTTAAAACGAATTAAATTTTTTAGCGGCGGCACATGCGCGGCGGCCTAAGCGGGGTGGTGGTGGCGGCGGCACGGGGGGCGGCCGCTTTCGCGTATAGGGCGCGCGGACGAATTTAATGATTTTTTTCTCTTTTGCTTTTATCCCCCCACGCCCGCCGTTACACTCTCTCTCTCGAGCGCGCGCCGCACTCCCACTCCGTCGTCGCTCCGTCGTCGGCGCGCTCTGCTCCCTTATCAAGGGGTTGCCGCCTACTCCCCCACGTCCGAGCCCCCGGGTGGATGATGCGGAGGGCGGGCGCGGTGCGAATTCCGGTTACAAACGCCCGCCGCGGCGCGCGGAGTGCCGTGCCGCGGCGGAGGGGCGGGTGGGCGGACCGGGCCGGGTAGGCCGGGTGGGTGGGGGACCCACTCTCTCTCATTAAACTGTACGAATATGCAATTTTACTTTCTCGGTTTTTACCCCCTAGTAGTTTATTGCTAGTCATGTTTTTGAGTTGTCTATAGTTCCGCCGCGCGGGCTCTCGTCAACCGCATCATCTCCGTCGCAACCGCCGCGGGCACGCACGCGATTCGCACGCACTACCATATATTACACAATACTCGCGACATCGACGATCACCATCATAATAATTATCACCAATAATTATTATTGTTATATTATTATTATTATTATTATTATTTTACACATTTAAAGAAAAAAAATACACGCGACAATCACGAAGTTACACTCACGCGTAATTAATACATACATACTAATTTAAATATTAATTAATTAATTAATTAATTACCGTTGATAGAAAAACTAATTAATTAACTCAATTATCTTACGGTTAATTTTTCCCCTTCCCATAAATCAATAGTGCACCATCTAAATACAATAATATACCTAAAATAAGATATCCGCACTAATCGCACACATGTCGTTTATTCTCCGCATGCCTGCGGCGGCCGTGTACCGGTCACCGATGACGAGATCTCATTCGACTACCGGACAATAATATAGGTAAGTCATCTCGGTAGTACGATAACACGTAGTAATCCGTCGGATATTATTTATTATATTTATCATATTAAAACATTCGTTTACTTAAATTAGAAATCAAAAATTTATCGAATAATAAAATAATTGTATTAATCAAATAATATAATAATATGATGACCGAAGTAATATATAGCATAAACAATCGTAGTTGTAATCGTCGTAGTCGTCTTAACTGTAGCGTAGTATAGTAGTCACGCGTGTGCGGTACAATATTGTTACGAAGATATAATATTTTGAATTTGAATATTATTATATTATTATGTACGATGAATGGCGGCAAAAGTCGCGTGTTTATCAGTGCACTTATCGCTTACCGACGCAAATTTCGTCGCCTTCTTCGCAGCCGCGGCCGCGTAGTGGTCGTCGGACGTGGAGTATAACGGGCGAGAGCGCGGCGCGCGGCGTCGGCGGTGGCACGCGTGTATACGCCGCGTGTGTGTGGCCGAACACCGGCCGCCGGTTGTATGAATGGGCGCCCCTGCCCTGTGCCGCCACTACCGCCGCCCCACCCGTACACGCAACGTGTACACACTCACACGCGTTCGCTCGCGCGCCCGCCCGCTCGTCCACTCACGCGGACCACACGGTGTCGCCGCCTGCCCACCTGTTCGCGGTGTGGTATACGGTATATACGGTCGACGACGGACGAAACGCGCGCGAAAAGAGGGTGAACCCCCACCCCCCTAAGGACAGCCTCGTGACCGCCAACGCTCCTCCACGCGCGTCACACGGTGACGGCCGTCTCGGAGATGACCCCCCCCCCACATGTCCCGCAAACCAACCCCGCGCCCGACTCCCCCATTCTGACGGCACGCGTGTTCAATGTATTTATTTCAGAAACGCGAGCGTGTATTTTACCTGACGTCGTCGTCTTGTTATTGTTATTGTTGTTTATGTTGTTGTTGTTGTGGCTGGGGTTGTTGTTACTGTTATCACCGCATTTCGCTCTCGTCGCGCGTGTGTCCTCGTGGGGCGGCCGTTCCGGCCGGTGAGTAGGAAAATACGCGGGAAAATATTTACATCGCGGCAGTACGGCGTTGTAGTTCTCTTGGCGCACACCGAAAAGTATTACCGAAAGCATAATAATATCACACTAAGTTTTAATACTCGGATCACGTTTAGCAGCAATTTTCGACGGATATCATGTCGATTTTTATATCGCCGTTACCGGTACATTATATAGTAGTTTACGCATATACATAATAATATAATATACATTATAAATTGATATTATGTGCGGCGACGATTAATTATTAAAAACGGTTATTATAAGTTGGCTGGGTTTTTGTTTTTCAGTTTCCCTTCTTCCTTTTTATCCTTCGTCGATAATAATCGTTATTAATCGCCACGCCTATGCGCATAATATATAAAATGCGGTGGATGGGTCAGAGTTGTATTTGAAAAACGAGTATTATATTATATCATATTCATAATAGATACTATATTACATAATTTTCACCTATTTTATTAATGCGTTTTCGCATAACAATGCAATTAAAATGAAAAAATGTGGCTCGCTTGATATAGTGCGAGCTGTGTTTTTTTAACTGTCTAACGCTGACTCGTTTTTTTGGCTTGTTTAATATAGGCGGGACAGTGTCGACCGAAGCCCACTGCGTGATGGGCGACCTGCAGCATTTCTGTCTGCGCTGGAACAACTACCAGAACAGCATCACCACAGCGTTCGAGAATCTGAGGGACGATGAGGACTTCATCGACGTGACGCTGGCATGCGACGGCAAGAGTCTAAAGGCCCACCGGGTGGTCCTGTCCGCGTGCAGTCCATATTTTCGGGAACTGTTGAAAGTGAGTATAATATCCACACCTGCAGGGATCACCGTTTAATACTTTTGGAGGGCCTCTGTAAGAAATCAGGATTTTTTCGGGGGTCATCAAAATGTAGTGTATAAATAGATCGAATTAAAATTAATGGAATTCTCATTTACCTAATTCGCTTTCAAAAATAAATAAATGTCTCGTCTACGGGCTAGATAAAGTTAGCTATATAGCTGATCTATACTCCACCATCCGCTCTTATTTAAAGTGATCTAGCGGTAAACGACTGCAGTCGATGATTTAAGTTTGTCTATTTATTGCGCAGAGTACGCCGTGCAAACACCCAGTGATCGTGTTGCAAGACGTCGTTTTCGACGACTTGCAAGCGCTGGTTGAGTTCATCTACCACGGTGAGGTAAACGTCCACCAGAGGAACCTGAGCTCGTTCCTAAAGACCGCCGAAGTTCTCAGGGTCAGCGGTCTCACGCAACCGTCCGATTCCACTACCGCCAACGACGTGAGTATACTGCACAACTTTAGTATATATTATTATATATTTAGCATAATATGATATATTATGTATTAGAATCATGTTTTATCGCGATATTACCCATTTATGCGATTTTATACGTTTTAATTTTTGGACACGTTTTTTAGAATTTTTCCGGTCCATAGGCCAATTTATTGTTTACCTGCGATACGATGTTACAAAGAAGTTTTAAAACTGTCCCAACAATTTAATCACAGGGCCTCATCGTTTTCCGAGCATAAAAAATATTCTTATTTTCTCGATGTTTGGAAATCCTTTTTATCAGGAACGTCAGGCCCATCTCTCTATATTATGTTTATATTAATTATAATCTCAATATAATAAATGTTCACTTATACGTTGTCTGTGCTTAATATTGTATGACATTATTATAATATTATATGTTCACGTGTCCGCTTGTTTTTAGCATGCCGCGAGGCAGTCATCCGAGACACCACCCGCGGAAAACTCGTGGTCGTTCGCCACACAAGCATCCGAGGGCAGAGTGTCGCCACAGGTCAGACAGAGGAAAGGTTTTCCGCAACAATCACCGTCGTCCATACCTTCACCGCGGTCAAAGGTAAGACCATTTCCGTTTTCACGTTTATTTTTGATATTATAGAAGGGTAGAGTGATTTTTCCGATTATATTAATTAATGATTGTCAGTGGACCTCGATGTACGTTTAGGTAACAATATATTATATATACAGCTATAAGGGTGTCCATTAAATAGTAATCGTCTTATATACGCTATACTTGCATCTTGCCTAAATTTACCTGACTATTTTCCGAAATTCTCTTCATATAATATGTGAGTCAATAAATCGAATACTGCAGTTAAATATTCATATAATAATTATTTGCTATCTCGTCTCGAAATTTTCAAAAATACGAAAACAACAGATTTAATTTTTTTTTAATTTATAGGAGCAAAAATCACTGTAAATTCTCATTTCTCATATTTAATAAATAGAGACATTTATACATAAGACAGCGATAATTTTCCAATGTCAAATTTTGATTTGATATTAAATTCGCATTAAACGTCACATAGGTACTCACACGTTATTGGTGATGACTAAATTCAAATTGAGACTTCTCATTTATGCGTATTTATGCGTGTTTATATCGTACACGCCACAGTGATTATATCTACATAAAATAGTCATACAATATGTACATATATAAGTTTATACTATGTATAATATGTGCGTCTTGACGAATATTTCATTATTCCTATGTCACTATAATATAATTAACCAATATTCAATAATGACTCATTATAGTCTCCTGCTCGGAGCAACCATGGTTTTTCATTCATAGTAATAATTGTTGTGGATGTGTTGGCGTTTTATATTGTTATTGTTCTTGTCGGTACTGCCAAGTAAATGATAATAGAAAACAAATATTATCAACGTAATACGCCGTATCTCGTATTCTCGTGTATTGCATATTTTTGTTAAATCTCTAGAAACTATTGTATACGAAATTCTCATTGACGAAATGCATTTCCCGCGTACCAAACAAGCGTGTATATTATACTCGTATATATATTGAAAAACAAACAATGAATCGTGTTTTCTTTTCGTTCAGGGTTTTTTCTTACCCGCACGTTTGTTTTGAATAAATAATGCAACGGCCGTGACCCTGCAGTATATTATATATAGGTGGTAGGATCTACATTATAACTTAAACTCAATAATATATGCACAATGCACATAAACATACTCATGCATGTACGACATAACAGAAACTTCCACACCACTGCAGCGGCTAAAGTCAACAGTTGTTGTTTATTTAATAAAACATTTTCTCTGCCGGGTTTACAATTATATATTCCTTTGATGATGACATTTTTTTTCTGCCAACCCGATAGCAACAAAAATGCATATTGTTTCGAGGTATACAAAGATATTATAACTAGAGATATAACTAAGATATATTGTTAAAATGTGACTCGATAAGTGGTGTAGACGGACATTTTCATTGGAGGTGGGGGGATATATATATTCATTATTTCTGAGATAAATCGTAAGGTAGAGCCCTCCACACTGACATTATATGTTTGTATAAAAAAAGTCATGGTGAGGGATCCATCTCTTATATCTCCTGAATACGCCCAAACATTTGATACACGGGTTATTTACCTGTCTTAGGGATATTTTTATTCACTACGATTAATAATTGTTTTCACGTTGTGGTTAATTTTTGCTTTGGAAAACTCCGTAGTATATAACGGTGAAGCCGTAGTTCGTTGGTACATATTATATAGATCATTTTCCGATGCGGTTTAATACAACATAGTATGCGTACATGCATGATATAATATATAGAGTAGGTATTAGATTAATTAATAATTATAATTTATAATAATATTAATAATACATAAAATTAGCACATCGGGCAAACTCTATGTCGATCGCTCTTGGTCAATATAGATTATAGACATATTAAATCTGCGCGTCTCCCATAATCTGCCTACATATAGGTTGCCTAGTGCCAACCTTAGTAGAAAGAGATGACCAAACCTTTCTATACGATAGGGAAAATAGCGTAATTTGTATGCCATATTTTTCTATGAATGTTGATAAACTCTCTCTCTCGATATTTTAAGGGGTATAAATGAACTAGCTTGTATGTTACAGCTACATTTCTATCTTTATCTTCCAATCCCGGATCTCTCTCTCTACTTTTAGTCCATTTCTTTATAGGTGTTGAATTAGCCCAACCATCCCGAACATTGAAACTTCCATTTTACAGAGACTATAATGAGTTGTGGGTAAAAAGAAAAGAAAATCGTTAAACAAAATTACATAAATTTGGTTACGGTTCTCAAAAATATTTCGTTAAATTTAAGTTCGCTGTGTGAAAGTTGCACTGTATATTGTTTTTGTATATACGAACAGGTAGAATACAATATAAAATACAGCGTTCGGATTCGGTGGTGAATAAAGGGTGACCTTTTATTATGTACGCCTGTAAATTATATATATATTTACAGTTATATTAACTCGTATAAGAAAGAGTGATTTCGCTGCAGTCAGTTTACGGTTTCAAAGGGTCGTCGTCGGAACACGACTACTGTTTTGATATGTTAGGACGAGGGTTGCGTGTGACAAAAGGTCAGCGGTGGGGAAAGAGTTTGAGAAGTCTTTAAATCGTACATCGTCGAATGCCCAGTACCAGAAGCGTCGCGGTCGGTGATATTCGTAATCAGATTCAAATGTTTCTTCAATATGATGCGTTAAAATCAACCCCACGCGATCTGCTGGAGTGACTGAGCGTCCTAAATACGCGTAAATAATACGCGAGGGGGGATATCATTACAATAAATATTCGCGTCATACGATCTTTATAGTGCTTTTAGTCGACTTTCGACCGGCAAAAGCGAAAACTCGCTGTGACGTGGTTGTATTTGTAAGCGTTTACCCGTTTGTGTACGACGACGACGACAACGGTATAGGTATAACCGTTAAAAGACAAATATTAAATGGCGAAAAAAATCGAGCAATAAAAATAAACATCGCGAGTAAAACACGTTACGGGTCGTTGTAGCGGTCGTGATGGCGTTCCGCAAAAAAAAAAAAAATAAATAAATAAAAAAATCATAAATATATAATAATATATACACACACACACACACACACACACACACGTGTTGATGTATGAAAAGAGATGATCTTCGCTTAAACCGAACGAGACGGTTAACAAAAGCGGTGGTGCGAGCCGGAGGAGAATGTGGAAAAAAATGAACGTGTAAAAAGAAAAAAAAAATCCGAGAGAGAATATTTTCTGGCCGGCGAAACGCTCAAAAGTCTGTAGCGTTCGTGTAAACAGTTTACAGTGCCCGCCGTTTTCTTTTGTTATTTTACGACTCTTTAGAGAAATCTTACAGTAAACAAAAACAAACTTCTCATAATAATTATTATTTTCCTCCATCGCGTTATTCGTACTATAGGTGGTACCTATACCAATGACCGGATACAACGAAAAACAAGACATAAGCTGTTAACGGAATTTCTCGTTTACATTATGTCGTATAGTCGTCGTGCAGTCTATTTATTTAATTTATTTTACGCCCCCGAAACCGTGAATGATCGATTCAGCAGACGGTAATAAAATATTTGTTAGACAATGTTCCAAAGTTCGCTATACATACAAGCACATTATTTCCATTGTGCCGGTTAATGCGCCTCGAAACCGGCCAACTTTCGATTTTCGTTTACTACCGAATTTAAATTCGTCATTTTAATATATATTATTACCGTTTACGAAATATACGTCGTGGCCCGTTTCATTTCGTGTTCCAATATTGACGGACCATGCAAAGTTTTAGCTAACGTTTCGCGCGAGGTGTTGTTTCGGCATTGCGGGCAAAGTAAATTACCGGAGTTTCCCGGACGCGGAAATGGCGCCTGCAGAGTAAATAAAAACAAACGAGTATTATATCTAAATATCTTTTTGACTTTATTGCGCATTAGCCTTCCTCGCTCAAAAGTCAAACACGAATTAGAGTTTATATAATCATAATCCGTACATAAACGTGCGTACAAAACAAAACACGCCGCGCTCGGCGTCATTGCTGTTAAGAGTGGGGTGGTGGGGGAAGGGGGTGAGATCTATTGGGACTGGTTTTTTTTACGAATGATTTTAATATTCTATACAACTATTTTTCCTAGAATTCTGTACGTAATATATTTATGGTTTTGTGGTTACAACGTTATAATAACTTATAAGCTAGTACATGTTTTCCGGAAATGGCACATGATACACATATATCCCTCATAAATATATTATATTGTAATACATTACTGATGGGTTTATCAAACAAATATTTTTTTAAATCCTCGCTCCCCCCTCTTGAACAAACCCTGGCTCCGCAACTGGTCCGTGTACGTATAATAAGCAAATACGCGCTTCCGATAAAAACCTATATTGGCAACGATTATTTTAAAGATCGTAGGAGTATACCGAGTATAGACCTATACAGAATTATCTACGGTTAAAAACAGTCGCGTATATGACATAAAATTGGCAACGGCGAAGCCGCGTGAATCATGCGGGAACGCTCTAAAAATGGCGAAAGTCAAGAACATTAAATTATACAATGGCAACATCCACGCGGAGGGGGAACCTGCACCCCTCTCATACATTTACTATAGATAGGATATAGGTTCACTCTATAGGTATACATTAATAAACTATAAAATAGTAACGATATGTGTAATGTTGAATATCCGTTATTTATTCTCGAAAAAAACTAACATTGTAAAAAAAAAAATATTAACAATACAAATTGTAAAGCCCCTGTAACGCGTTTATTATTTACGTTTTTAGCCGTTTAGAACGCGCATTAAGTGTAAGTATAATATTATTGTTTACAAACAAAAATAGAGTGAGGTTGACATAATATTCATAATATTAAATCGTTGTGTGAATAATACTATATTATGATATGGAGGAAAATTACCCTTAACCGCGTCGCATGTATAAATAGGGCATGGTAGGGTATAGTAACGCTGCAAATCTTTTATTATAGCATCGTTATTAATGATTGTATTTTCCGTATACGAAACGCGTTCGATATAATATATAACATTGCTTCATGCAGATAGTTAAAGAGAGTACGGTGGCCTTTTCTCTCTTTTGTGGGTCATATATCTGTCCTATAAACATTCAGCACGACTATTCCAATGTTAAATATCACTTTAGGTAAAGTATAAGTTAGCAGATAGAATAGTGTAGATTAAAATTTTGGACCTGCCGGATCAACGGTTATTGTAATGCAACCTTCCTCAATTGAACTTAGAGATCCCTTCACCCTCCTATTATTACGAGTTACGACATCACGTTCCCTTTCCAGTTCCATCCACACCACGAACTACTGGTGTCTACGCTTGTAGCCATCCAATTCACCGTCATGCCAATAAACACTACCCCTCTATAGGTTTATGGAAATACTTTTTTTCTTGACATTAAACTCTTTGATACTTGTTGTTTTATATGTTAAGTACATTCTTGTAATTCTTAGGCTTCGGCCTGGTTTGTAGTAATAATAATAATATAAATCGATAACATAATATGTATTTAACATGTATTTGTCTTGTCGCAGGAAAACTCTCCGATACCGTTGAAACGCACCAGCAAGACTTCGTCGAACCCGTCTTCGGGCGGCGGTGGCGGTGGTGCCATGCCCATCGGTGGCGGAGGCATGGACCTGTCCGAGAGGACGTCTCAACACAGTCCCAGCTCGGCGGGCAGCCGGCCCAACTGCATCGACGACGACGACGCGGGCGAACGTTCGGACGGTGGCCTTGGCGGCGTCATCGGCAGTAACGGCCACAGCAACGGACATCTACCACACAACCTCCACCAACACCAGCAGCAACAGCTCCAAGACGAACCTCCGATGGACTATTCGAGGACGCACCAAAACCACCAGCAACAGCAACAGCCACCACCTAACGCCCTGCAACAGCTGCAGGACACTGCGCAGAACCTGATGATGTCCCGCCGGTCGCCAGCCGAAGTCAAGACCGAGCCGATGGACACCACGCCCGTGGCGGCCGTCAACAGCGGCAGCGCGTACGCGGACGACAGCAACGACTCGGCGGCCGACTTCACGGGCGTCCACCCGGCCATCGGCATGTCCGAACCAGACGACACGTCCTACCAGAGCCACCACTCGTACCTGGACAGCAAGTTCTTCGCGGCCGCAGGCGCCTCGTTCAACTTCAGCATGGCAGCCGCCATGGCCGCAGACTCGTTAGCGGGCAAGTACAACACAATATTGTTAATAGACACTTATATCATACTGACTTGCGTGCGCCGTTTTGGGATTTTTAGTTGTGGGTGTCCAAAAGTTTTTAAATAATTACCTATCCAGCGATTATAAGATTTAAACGACTATATTATTGTATAGGAATGCGATTTGTAAACTTTCTTTTGCTTTTTGAAGAATTTCAATTTCTGTGACTTGTTATTGACACCAGTCAATTATTAGGACTTTTATAGTTCATATTATGTCCCGCACGGTTGTAATTTGTTCAAACAACAACACTGTGTCATGTAAAAATAATATTTTTTATGATATAATATGCATATTAAGCTTAATATCAATGGTAGTCGGACCACGACAAAAATTTATTTGAAAAGTAAAAAAACTCACCCTGCTTCCCCCAAATGACGAATCTGCAGAATACTTTGCTTTATACTAATATTGCATTAGTAATATTTCAATCGCTGTCACTCTCTCTCTTTCTCTATCTATATTTCTATTTATAGATCGTTGCCAATTTTCGCACAAAATGTCGTGACGTCACACGCCCGTGTACTTTTGTATACCTCGCCGGACACACGATCCGCCGCCGCCGAGACCGGTTTCCTGAAATTCCGTAGGTGAAAATTTGCCCGTCTACAATGAGACGACGTGTACTTACTTACGGCAGTGTGTGTAATATATTAATATATAGGTGCACTAGTAGGAGGTGGTAACCGTCGCCGCCGAATATAAAATTTATCCTACTAAACTCTTCTAGCGACGCGCGTGTGCGTATTAGACGAGTTACACCTATATTTCCATACATTCGTGTGGGCCACGACGTGGTCAACCTTATGTACCGTGCAGACGTTTGCAGTAATATATATATTTATATATACTTATAATATTCCATAGGTAGGTTAAGTGTCTATAACCTATGATTGGGCCATAAATACGTTTTTATTTTTTTATTTTTCAAAAACCGGATTCGTATTTTGCTCCGTCGGTTTACGCTTACGCGAGTTGTGGGTATGGGTATACCGACTATTAAATACCTATATACTCTATACCTATAACCGCGAGCGCACCTATTTATAACGTATATATACATACGTCACTTGCAAATAATATAATATTCTAATAGTATAATAATACTATAATATGTCGTTTCTGACTCTCGTGTATTATGTTAAACGCGTACCTACCTCCCATTGTATATTATTATCGTACATTCGTGCATTAAGACGCAGCCGGATAAGTCACCAACGGTGGTTATAATATTAAATGGTTACACGCCTTATAAGAGGACGACGAAACGCGAACATCGGTATAGTACGGTCATAGGTAATAATTATTGTAATAATATTAATTATTATTTATTACTATTCGTACATCACCCAGTATGGCCGACTATCGCAGACACGCAGTCATTTGATATCTCACAATCGATCGATGGAGCGTCTTTTAACACGATATATGCATATTATATATATATATATAACATTCTTGTCGTATACGTCATCAGCTCCTTTTGACCCAAAAATCTTGCACTGCCCCATGCAAGGTCAATTTCGCCGCACCCGTCTCGTCTTTTTAGCGATATGCGGGTGGTACACGACATATTATTCAAGATTTCTGAGGTATTTTGGTCATCGGTGCAATATACCAAAACAGAGTTACATGATATACCAGCGAAACGTACCGACCCGTATCGGACTCGTAGTAGTTACGTATACCTATCGATACGCGTATCGAATTTTTCTTCTCGAAATTCTTGAATATTTCGCTAAACTACTACACATTCGATCGGTCGGCGACAATATAGTTGAGCTATAATTAGTAGTCCATGACGACGTCAGACTTTATATACCTACCTATAGTATTCTAATATAAATATCGTTAAAAACATCGATGGCGCCCGCCCCCGATCACTGGTTTGCTGCGAGCAGCATTCGATCTCCTTGTTAAATTGATACAGGCATGCGCTACTACAATAATATATTATATACATATTCCTATTCCCCCACGCGAAATCAAAGCCCCTTCTCTTTGGATCTGAGACGAGCGTGTAACGAGATGATGATTGTTGTATAATATAGACTATAGAGTATATTGTGTAGTAGGTAGGTAGCTAAATTTAAAAAAAAACCTATGGTTAAATTAATCACCGTTGTCCTTAAACATTGCCCGTTTATTATTTTTGATTTAAATTTGTTAGGCATGATATTAATTTACCGGTTTGGTTTCTGTTTATCACAGGTCTCAACAATCACAACCATACCAACGTGATGGAGGCTCTAGGAGGCTCCAGTTCTCAAGGTAAGAATAAATAATATAATATATATACCAAAATAAATGCATTTACTATCGATTCGTTACAACTGTATACTTACTGTAATGGCTCGCTCTAATTATAATATTATATACGTCCATTGGACGTCTTGCGATCGACTGTGTTTACGAATATTTACGCATGTATAAGCGTATATAGGTAGGCTACGACAATCGAGTTATGATAAGTTTGTGTCGAGTGCATATTTTTATTTTCAGTATAACGCTTGTCTGCTTCTCATCACCCTCTCGCCCCGCGAAATTGTGTACGTTCAATATACGTATAACGCAAAGGAGACACACTCTACACTGCAATAACATAATATATATTATTTTAAAATAGTCCGTCTGATTCACTTTAATTACTTCAAGTCTGCGATACAGACAAAACGTATATGTCTAGTATGTGCGACACTATAATAATGATACAATATTATAATAATATATAAATGCTATTGATAAAGACAGCGGCGTTTTTGCGAGTGAAGTGGCCGTAACGTATTGTCGAATTGTTGTTCAAACAAAGTAATAAGAACGATATTATAACACTATGCATCGATTTTAAGTGACTTCAATTATTATTATTATTAGCGGGCATATCAGAATAAGAAACGGCGAAGATATTTTACAACGTGACTTTGTATATAATATTATGTACTCAAATGCCGCACACATATACTCTATATATTATATATTTTATAAGTTAAAGCCGTTTTAGATCCCGTTGGCTTTTGTACCTTTTTTGCGACAAACTCGGCAGTTGGTAGTACCTATTCGTTTTTTTATCACCGGACTTCAAATACTATATATTATATACGACCCTCTCGTGAAAACTCACTGTCTACATCGTATCCCGATCGTATGTATAATAATAAAATATAATATTACTTATATATACGTAATACGCTCGTCGGTGTACTTAAAATAAATTTTAGAAAGAATTTATGTTTTATATATATATATTATGCCATGACGGAATTCATTTTTTTGCTGATATTTCCTTAAAACAAATCGTCCAAGAAATATTAATTAAACTTCAATATTTACATAATGATTTATTTGGGCTCTGAGACGCCAAGGGCCAATAGACATTTATCAACTCTAAATAAAGAGCGACTACTGCTGCAGGTATATGTTACGACCGTTTTATACGCCGAAACACGACGGACTTGAGGAAACGGACTCAAAAGAGATTTTTTGACGTATATTTTGATATAAATCAGAATTATTTCGACTTGATACATAAATTCGTTCACCGCATAAAATATTTCTCAAATCCCGAATCCACTTCTACAGCAGTTTTATGATAAATCGATGTACCTATTTATAATGTCAACTCGAGAAAAACTTAAAACTTTCACCGTAATTTTCCCGTGCCCTATCGTGAATATCATTGTGACAATAATTATTACATCGGATAAGTTTGGCAATCATATTTTAATGCGTGTATATAGTTTCATACAGACATAATAATCGATCATTTTATACATCAATTTTGAATATTATACAATTATTGCGAAATGAATTCGTTTTTAATTATCGAACAGTTGTTCTTCTTTTGAAACTTGCAACAAAAACACACAGGCGGTTATATAGGTGCGTTTTGCTAGTTAAAATGTTTTAACTATAGTTTCTAAAATTTCTTTTTATACATAACTGTTGACGACGATGGCGGCGGCGACATTATTCAAGTATAGTTGTATTCAAAATAGTACTCGTGCGGTGAAATAAAATTTAATTTTTAAAAGTCGTCGTGTGTTGTGCCATGTGAAAATTGGAAACCTGTTTGCGAGTCTAAGTATAATATGAGTTTTTACACTTTGGCTGAAATTAAAAAAAGAAAAAAAAGTGGAAAGGTGAGCCCGGCTCAACGTACTTATATCTATATGACTATACATATATAATATACTGCGTCCTATACGGTAGACTTGTTAGCCAAACTATATACTGGCAATTCCGGTATTATATTTTTGTCTATTTCGAACTGCTGTTGGCGGCGTACACGTGTGTATTATAAAAAAGATCGTTGACCTATACGGAGTGACTCTTGAAAAATCGACGAAAATTTACAAAAAATAAATAAATTTTACCAAAATAATTCCGCCACGCGTCTACACGACTTACCGTTGTATGATTAACATCGGCGAATCTTCTCGCGTACAGTAAATTATTCACATTTAGTGCGCTTGGTTAATTTCTTGCATATGCTGCTGCGATGCTATTTCAGATAAAGCGTTGACAACGACGAAACCTAAATTATAATATGATAATAATATTATATTATTATGTATAATGTGCGTATTCACCTAATTAAAAGAGTTTTTTCGTATGAACTTTAGTCGTTTTATTTAAGAAAAAAAAGAGCTTGCGCGATATGATGGCGATTTCTGCGCGGCCTTGTGTACTTTTGTGTATATATTTTTGACGAGCCTATTAATTTTTTGTACGACATTGTTACCTATATGTAATATATTGTTTTGGAGCCAATAATAATCGGTCGAGTGTCTTAATTTAATGTTGTGTGTCCGATATATACATACGTAGATCGCCACGGATCCGTCGACGTATATTTATAATATATATATATTTATTTATACCAGCAGCTGATGTGATAATAATAATTATTATAATACTGTGTTTACTACTGTGATCTGTTAAAAAAACGTATACTTATATTTGTTGTTCTTTTTTTTTATCCAAAGTATATTTATGTATACGTTTAAAAGAAAACCACTCTATCTCCGTCTATAACACTCTATCTATCAGTTTGTCCCTCTTTTTCGGAACGATAAAACGAAGAGAATAATGAAAGAAAAATTTATGTACACTTCTACGACAATGACGAAATACTTGGTTTTTTTTTAAACATTTTTTTTAACGTTTATCTATAATATATACCTCTAAATATTAAATATTATATATAATCCATAATATTATAATACCTACCAATAATTTTATAACTATCATTATTTACGTCTTATAATATAATATTTATAATACATAAATGCATGTATTTATGTAACACTTATACATATATATATATATATAATATACATACCTATAAGGCTATAAATACACGCGATGCATAATAAATCTAAATGGGTTCTTTTGGTGAAAAACATTTATTATTTCAAAAGCTATCAATATTTTTGAATATATTTTTTACATAATTGTAGATAGTTATAAAATATGATTTTTGAAAGAAAAACGATGTGATTTACCATTTCCTAACCACAACTTACATTTTTAATTCCTTATTCCAAAGAAGAATATTTTTTGGAATAGGTACTTCAAAATATAAAAATTTAATTTTGGACGAGTATTTTGTGATTTTATGATAAGTGGGTATTTAAATAGATTATTAATCACTCGTCCAAAATTTGATTTTTATATATATAATATTACATATATAATATATATTGAAACACTCCCAACAATATTTTGCTTAGGATTATTAAATTAAAATTCTATAAATATGTTATTCGCAAAGGTACAAAACTAAGAAAATATCCTAGACAGAAATATAATTTCTTCCAAAAAATTGTTGTTTTGTAAACGACTTGAAATTATGTAAAAAAATACTTCCAAAAATAGAAGTAGTTTTTTGAAATAATGAGCGTTGCCCGATAAAAGAATCACCCGTTATGCAGTAACCTACCTATATGATACATAGTAAATAGTAATACATAATATAATATAATATATAAATGGAGAAAAAAATACAAAAGGAGTGACCGGCTGTTATTATTGTGCTGCAGACTGGTCAGAGGCTGGTGGCGGAGGAGTTGGCGGCGGGGGCGCGGAGACGCTGTCCTGTTTCGTATGCGGCAAGCGCCTGAGCACCAGGTTGACGTTGAAGCGGCACATCGAACAGCAGCACAACCAGCCTCTGCACTCGGCCGTCTGCAACGTGTGCAACAAAGTGTTCCGCACGCTCAACAGTCTCAACAACCACAAGAGCATTTACCACCGGAAGCCCAAAGCGTACAAGTCGGCGGGCGGGGGCGGTAACGTGGGGGCGGGGGCGGCGGCGGTAGTGGCTTCGACGGGGGCCACGACCGCGCCGACGACGACGACGACTACTTCCGCGGCGGCGGTCACGTCGTCGTCCGCGTCGCCCGACGGTAACGGCGGCGTGTCCGGATGCACCAACACCGCCGCCTCCGACGCCGCCGCCTCGTCCGTGAAAAACTTGCCGCCGCTAACCATGTGGTACAACAACAACATTAACAACAACAACAACAACAGCAACTGACACAAGCTGCAACGGAGCGCCTGAACGGGCTCCGACGTCGTCTTCGTCGTCCGAACGACGCGGCGGCGGGAGATGAAGATGACGACGACGATGACCGGACAGAGGGACGCCGACAGGACAGAGTGACGACGATGACGACGACGACAGTATTACGAACGACGTGGACAAGATAATAATAATTAATAACGATATCATTATGATGCCCCTCGTAGCCGACGACTGTAAAGTGCAATAAGAATAATTTATGTGTTATTATATAACGATATTATATTATAACAGTAGAAATCGTTTCGATGATTGTAAGTTTTGTAGGTTTCGTGTTTAATATTTATTTTTTTCTGTTTTCCGGCGCGACTGTGAACACATTTTATTATAAAATACCATCGACGAATTATATCGGAATCATTATTTGTCATTATTTTTTTTTCTCGTGTTTGTTTAGGTATTATTATTATTATTATTAAATTATTATTTGATTAAACGGACGGTGGTTCGATATAGGATTAGTGCTGTATACATATAGGTATAATATAATATTGTGTAGGTACATTGAGTATATATTTTTGTCTTTTCGACGGACGTTTAGACTGTGTTCGTACAAGGTTTAGTGAAACGAAAAAAATAATAAAATATGTATAAATAAAATATAGTACTGTACGCACACGCATATTATTATACAATATTATCGTGTATTTTAGAATGTATAATATTATATATTATAATACGATATAAATATGAATGTATCATTTACTGTAAATTAAACAATGATAATAATTATTATAATAAAAAGAAAAAGAAAACGAAAGTATAATATCGGCATTGTAATGACATTTAACATACCTAGGTAGTAGTTAATAATATTTAATATATATTATTATTATTATTATTATTCAATATTTACGTAATGTTGTCTATGCCTAGTCCTTTGACCGTTGACTTGGCCGATACTCAATAATTCGTCATTTGTAGAACATAACAGGTTTATAGGTAGGAAAACCTTCTTCGGTCTTCCGATCGCCATACATCTTGACATAAAGCTCATACCTCATCCTTTTCGAGGAGCAAATTTATTACGATAATAACATATTCAGGCCGTTTCACGACGATCTATCTATTGATTTTTCGTTCTATCGAATACGTAAACGATATCAATGATATCATGATATATTATTAGTATTTCATAAAGTCGAGTCGATTGGACTCGTTATATATGGGTACAAGGTGTATCTATAATATCATGCGGTTACTATAATATTATAATAATGCCCGAAATATAGGGCCATGTCTCTAGGCCCTGCGACCCGAGTGACAGAATGATGTTGAAAAGGAACGAGCTAAATATCGACTACCGATGCACAGATTTATTTAGGAGCCGATTCGTGACAGGGACACAATGACATAATATTATTATACTTAAATACCTACCCTAGTATAATGATGTGGTAGGCGTACTATGAAGAAATATAAAATATAAAAAGCCAACAAAAGTCCGAGCCGGTTGTTATTATTTTTTTTCGTCCGCAGTAGTTGTCTAGTAGTACGTGGACATTATTAAAAGCTCGCGTGATTACATATGACACATTATATAGGTAATATATATTTAATAATATAATATTGTGTTTATAGGTTTGGTAAAAGAAAAAAAATACCCTATTAAATTTGGATTACACTGACGACGACGTTTGTTTATATACGGTTTGTATGGGGCGCCTAACTAAAAATAAACACAGGTATCTAACGTACATTACGGGAAGTATAGAGTCGGCGATGGCTTTGTTGTCAGCCGCCAACGCTCTCCTCCCCCAACCCGCCTGCCACAAACTACCGCCCCTCACACCGTCGAACGAGGGTAAACAACGCTGTTCGCTGTTTTCTTTTTAACATTATACATAAGCGCGTCGAATGTATATCGGCAAACGAACGGTACACACATACCTTTAACGCAAACGTAAACATATTAATATAGGAGCATGTATAATGTTATAATATAGTTTCATTTTCCGGGGGGAGAGCTGGTGGCTTTGCTCTCAAAAGTCGATTCTCGAGTGTACGATGATTAATAAAAAAAAATCATCTGCGTCATCCGAGTTTGGTAATGTGTGTTTCAAATTAATTTCTCCGTCTCCGTGTGGGTAAAAAAGTGTAAAACGAATGTGCTCATGTCGGATACTGTAAAGTATATTATAGGTAGTGCAGGTACATTATATATTCTGCAGCACAGTGTTCGTTTCGGTTTATCCTGCACTCGTGAACAATGTGTCAATTGATTGGAATAGTCATATTCATAACTTCATAAGTCACCCTAGTGTTCGAGATGCAGTGCGAATATTTTGTCGCATTTTTTTTTTAGTTATGTTCCTATTGTATTGTATTATTATTATGAATTAAAGCGTTCCTTTTACCATGATATATTACATTAAAAAAGGCTGCACTTAAATAATACTCGCACTTCATCGCGAACTAAGATTACCGACTTTCCAATTCATTAACATAATATAATAAATAAATATACGATTAATCATGACCAATAATTTCCCTTTGGGTGTCCAAATATGTATACCATCACTGTTCACTCCGCCTTGCTGCTAATCGCAATTATGTGTTATACGAACGCAGTGCAACTTTTCATCGTAGCTCATTTAAAATATTGATACAACTTTTTCTACTAACTGATATATAGGTAGGTACTTGTTCAAATCGTTAATGTATTTATATAAATCGTAGAATATTATTATTATTTCTTAATATTTACGTGCTTAAAACGTTCAGATTATCATGTATCTCATTATATCCGCTATTTCCGTGGCGATTGTCTACTTATTTTGTCTTCGACCCAGCTCCGTATAGTGTTGTGAGAACATTAATCGATTTTAAAAATCCAATATCGTAAATGGTATTAGGTATATTATATTTGCAATAACATCCGTTCAGCTAAACAAAATACTAGAAAGTAGAAATACTAGATTTTTATACATATTTTGTATAATATTATGTTTATATTTGAACGTCATTACTGAAATGGTGGCGATAATAATTGTAATTGGTGCCTCCTTCACCTCCAACAACTGCTGACTACAATACGAACGCATATTAAATCTATTTGGCGTACGAAAATGTTTTGAATTATTAATAAGTATAATAACGTGGCACCGATGCGTACAATTTTCATACCTCATAATAATACCGCATAATACCTATGTAACAAAATTTTGGTTTTGGTTATGCTTATAATATAGATATACTATTAATTGTTTTTTCAATAGTCGACCGTCACCCTGTCACGGTGTACGTATCGTCGAAATTTATCTGCAAATTTTCTCTCACAACACATCATCATACGAGATGATGATATTATGTACCTATGTACTATGTAGTGTATACTATTATAATACAGCGTTCCGACAGTGTCCCGCGGGAATAACTGTGTTTCGTTTCGAACCATCTAATATAATATTACAGTATATTATATTATGAGCACGGATAGGATTTTTAGGTTCTTAAAAGGTTAATATGAGCCAATAAAGCTAATATGATCCACAAAAATCTTAAAATATTCTCTTAATATTTGATAAAAAACTATTAAAATATGTTTTTTTTTGTTTTTTAGTCTCTATTATTTAGTTACATACTTAAGTAAAGTACATAATATAATATAATATTATTAATGTTTAAGTTTGTTGTGTTTATTCTTGGGCTAAACCTAATTTGATATTTGGTAAAAAAAACCGATTTTATCGAACAGTGTATAGTTTATCACAGTCCAAAAGGGGAACAGAGTGTCCAAGATTACTAATTTAATTACCATCCATCGACATAGATAAACAATAAATACCGATGTTCTAAACAAGATATTGAACGATTTTACTCCTTATTTTTATAACACTTTTTTGTATTTTAAAATAAATCCCTTCTATGTAAATGAAAAATTATGATTTTTATATATAAAATTTATTCAAAATTACTATAAATAGGCTTTCAATATTCTTTAAAACCCATATTATGCTCAAAATAAAATTTTTTTACGAATTATCTACATTCATTACCCGTTGAGCTGCATAACCTCAATAAATATAAAAGAAAACCTCAAAATCTGCTCTCCAAATTTATGAGCGTGCTGGCCTATTTTACTTCAAACAGTCCGCTTAACGTTACATTTTAATGTTTTTATGCACTTTTTTCTACTCTTTTGCACCCCGCAGTAATTGCAGTTATGGATAACGATAAGACAATAACATACATTATACATAAACATAATAAATTTGATGATGTTATAATAATAATTAATAATACATTAATTAGGTAGTGATTTCGTGCGTTCTGTTTGTTTGTGTGTCTGAAAACGCAATAGTTGCCAAGAGGTTTTTTGTTCTTAAAAATAAAATACAAAAACAAAAATAGTGAGCAATTATTATTTTCGGTTTTTATATTTTCTCAAATACGAGTTGTAACCGGTTTCGAGTTTTGTCTTTGGATTGCTAAACATACTATCGTTTCAACTACCAGTAATTGTTAAACTAGAAAATCGTTTGGATAGGTATACCTGTATCTTTTTTTTTATAATTAGTATGTGCACCTATTTAACCTTCTAATGGCTAATCGTACTTTTTAATCGCATATTTTCGCTTAGTTTTTAATGCACGCACTTACATTGAGTTACACAACGATGCCAACGGCATTTGACGTAAAAATAACCGTCGAAAAAATCGAATCGGCAGAGTCGGTGTCTGTTGACTAAATAAACAGTCGTTGTCGCACTGTCTTCCGTCCGTTCACCGAAACGTTTTGCGAAAGAGCTAATTCGTCGTGATTCTAACTTCGAGTAAACAACAATTACAAAAAGAAAAAAAAATCAAATCGTTGAACCACAAACACTCGCTGCTTGGCGATTTTTTGTGCGACGCCTTTCAAAAATAATAAAACAGAAAACAAGTACATTCGTAGTTCACTCGAAAAACGTAAAGTTTTCGTTTTTTTTTTGGCGGAATTGTTTTTTCTGTGCAGTATTGTGTACACGCGTATTATATACATAAATATAATACGATGATCTACGTGTGTACGAGTATATAATTATGTGGTTTGGGTCCAAATGAGCACCAATTGTATCACATTTCTTTGCTAATCGTAACGGTGAAAAACTATACTGAAAATCACAGATTTCTATACCATACTATATTAGGAGCTCTGAATAAAATTAATACAAAATAATTGAAGTCAGTCTACCATGTTTTGAGTTGGAAGAATGTCCATGAATATAATATAAAAATTTCAAAATATTTAGGTCATGAACTGAAATAAGAATTAATTAATTAAGATTCACTTAATGACTCAATAGTTACTTATCTAGTTGGGATAGAAGTTTTTACTGAAAATTAAATTACTTGCAGCCTGCCTGGTATATTCATAGGTATGCAATAGATATGTTTGTTTATAATAGTCAACGGTTTGACGGAAACAAAGCATTTATAATAATTATATTAGTGATACACATACTAGTAAACAATAATAATATTTTATAACCGTAATCACATGTATAATTAATTGGAATAATATATTAATATGCTATACTCATATTCATTAAATGAACACTATTTCCTGCGGCTATTATTTTGAATACTAGAGACGAGATGATATTGGATATTAACAGTGTTGGGTAAGTTACTTTTAAAAAGTAATTAAGTTACTTTACTCGTTACTAAGAGATAAATGTAATTACAAGTTACTTTACTCGTTACACAAATACAATTGTAATGAAATTACTTTACTTTTAAAATAGAAATGTAACTTATTACTTTCTCGTTACAAAATAAAAATTTTTATGATAATATGTATTGTAATTACTAAGAAACTAGACGTGCGATCCTCACTTCCATTTTATCTACACAAAAATTCAAAATTCCGCATAGTTTGTAATGTAGTTGTGACGCAGTCGCGCTTCACTTGCAGGAGCTGCGATGGGTCAGTCTTCTGGCGGCGACTTCATTATATTTTATGACAAAAATAGTATTATATTTTGATGTATAATAGTTTTACACTTGTATACTTATGACATATTGTATACGATACGCAGGAACGTTGGTTTTCATTTTTTTTAATGTATTGTTCCTTATGCTCGCAGGACTGAAAAAAGTGTTCCCGTGCCTGGCCTGTGGCAAAGTGTTGTGCTCGAAAGCGAGCTTGAAGAGGCATGTGGCCGACAAGCACGCGTCCAGACAGGAGGAGTACCGGTGTGCTATATGCGAACGGGTGTACTGTTCGCGCAATTCGCTGATGACGCACATTTACACGTACCACAAGACGCGGCCGACGATGCTGTTGCCGCCACCGCCGCATCACGCGCCCCCGCCACCAGCCACCCACTCCGACGTCAAGTTCTAGTATTCGATATTCAAAGGTAAGTAAATGATCCGCATTTAGTGTCCGGTGCATCGCGCACCACCACCACCCATCATCACCATCACAGCAACCACCACCATTTGGTTTAAACGTTTTTGAGATTGAAAAAAAATATCACTTGTCTCTCACCAGTGTTGGGAAAAAAACTCATCTAACGATTAAATTTTATTGAGATAACATATAAATATACTATACTATAATATACATAATTTATATATTTCATTAAATATACATTCATTCAATTAGTCAATGCTTAAGGATTAACATAAGCTGATAATAAATAAATCATAATATATTATACATCTTAAAATATACAACATTTGACAGATAAAAAACCCAATTTTAAATTAAAACTTAAAGGGAAAAGACAACGTGATACACTAAGTAAAATATTGATAGATAGAGTAGCGAAGGATGTCTGAGAATGTTACGTATAGAATATTGGGAGGAAATGCTGAAAGATGGAGAGATATTGTAGAGGCGTGGCCAAAGCTCTTGAAGACTAGTTACGCTAGGAGGAGGAGAAGAAGAATTAAAAAAACTAGTCATAGTCCATAATTTAAAATTCAATCATTGTTCATATTGGTTTATTTAACTTGGCTTTATTTTTATGAATCATCAAATATATTTTTAATCATCATTATATTATACTAGGTACCCCACAAATATATTTCTAGAAATTAATGAAATTTAAATTACAAATATAATCTTTATATATACTTTAATCATCGGTTAAAAACATAGATTTATTTTACCTAACAATATTTCATCTAACTATAACGAGCGTTGTAGATATACGATTTATTGCTCATAAATATTAATTATTATACAATGCGGATAAAGATCACACAGACGTGTAAGATTCTTATTAATATTTTTAGTTTTTAAATAACAAAATACAAGGGTATACGAGAAAAGTCTAGATGTTTTATCATACTTAAGTAAATATTTCATATAGGTAGGTTACACACTAAATACATGTACGTGTACTATTACTATGACTAAAGCTATAAATTATATAACGCATAAAAATGTAACATAGACTCCTCAGTCCTCACCAAACATCCATTATCACTCAATTTTTTTTTTATAAAATTATTTGATAACTATTTTTAAAACAAATACATTTCGGTACAGCTCAAGAATGCAAAATAAAATAGCTACAGCGTAATATAATAAATTGCAATATAATGTACCGAACGGATTTATAATTTGGGCCTGCACTCTTCACATTTATAAAAGAAAAAAACATTTAAAACATAATAATAAACATAATAATATCTTAACCCTACTTATGTTATTATTTAATACGAACGTTCAAAATACACACTTTCGATATAATATGTGTTTATATGACGTGTATAATGAGCTGAACGGCGCTTGCGACGACGGCCAATTTCAAGCAAAATGTACGATTAAGATCAGCTGTTTAGTTTTTTATCGTGAGCGTAAAAATATGCGATCGCGTGCATGTCTTAGGCAATAAACAAATCGTTTCGTCGGTGTTACACACATTTGACAGCCCCGGTAAAAATACCAAATTCTGTCCCATCGGCGGTGCATATATACATAATATATTGCGGTACCTTAGTGAAATGTTTATTTGTTTTTGTTACAAAGTAAGGCTACGAGTTCTAACGAAAATCGTTTGAACCGATTTACGAGAGCAATAGGGAATACACAACAGCGTAATGTATATAGACGTTAAATTGTCAAATTGTATACGATACAAAATTAATATTTTCTCTCGCCTGTTGGTAGGTATACCTATAGGTATATATTATATATATTGTAATTTTATATCAGTCATTCGGTTAGAACCGGTACAGTATATATTATAATTCATCCAAGATACGTGATGGTCGATTTTTTAATAATTTCGACTAACACGAATTAAATATTATAATTATTGTTAAACGGTATAACGATATTATTATGACAACGAAATATGTACAACTTATCCCTAGAACAACACGATATAACTACAAACAACGCCATTATGTGATATTGCGCAGCCTTCGCTTTTAAGGAATGGTCAAATGTGCAGTAAAGAACCAATTGTTAACTTTACTATATAAGAATAATTGCTCAATCGGCATTGTATTCATTCAGGAGTCGCGCAGTCGACAGCCCCCGATCTATAGAAAAAAAAAATGTTACTAATTCAATGCATCCGCTAAGTTCGTGTGCGTTAAAAAATTATAAAAATTAAATTAACCGAACAATAAATGGTTAATAAATGTGACGATTAAATGTCGATCTGAAAACATTTCATTAAGCGCTGAAATTATTGTAATAGCTGTTACATTTCAAAGAAATTAAATTATTTCGACCATATTTTGCACCTTTATAGCTTTGTAAGTATGACATTTTGAATCAATGTAGTATGACGAGTCAAGCGTTATAGCTATACACGAATAATTTAATGAATTAGAGATGAACCACTGAACGATTTTTTTGTCCATTACATTTCCAAAATAATAAATTGAACAGTTATAGGTACGCTAAATTCTCCAAATTTCTCAAAAAAATTTTCGACAAAGTTGTACAAAAATGTATAGTGCTGCATATTAGATTTGTTCTACTCGAGATCTAGTAAGGTGCTGTGTGCAATAACTTGTGAATATTGTAACTAATGATCTGACTCGGAATTCTAAAGAAAATTATTCGGACCTTTAAAATACTATAAAATCAGCATTGTGTGTATAGATAATCTCAGATGTAATAGCAGTGGTTTAGAAAAAATATCAGAGAGAGAGTGAATTAAAGGATACAATAAATTATGCAAAAAAATTGTTACCGTCCTCTTGCCGAAGATTGTCCAAGCATACGGTTAAATTTCATAACTTTTATAATATTTACTGTTGAATGTTGATATAATAATTGCCATAAATTATTATTTTTAATATTTATAATTTACATATTAAAAGAAATTAACCAAGTCCCAAGGGGGAGGGGGATTTTGTTCGTGCCCTTCACCCTCCCTCAAAACCACCACTGATAAATAGGGTGTCATGCCGCATGTGTCCCATCACACCACCCACTCACTAATTACGAGTATATATATTATATAAAATATTATAATATTATAATAATAATAATACTCCTCTCTACCGTCTCCCGCCCAAACTGTAAGACTTGCATAACTATTTGAATACTCAATGAAAATTAATTATTCAACTTTAAAAATATTTACATAAATTAGTTCTATAAATAGGGAACTCCGTTTCATTTTTTTCAAGTAACGCAAAAACAAAAATTTTAATTTTTAATCTCCATTTTAGATATTAATAAAAAAAAAAAAATATAATATTAAAAATAATAATTGCGTCTCTCCTAGAACACTGATGATGATATAGTAATAATAAATCACCCCGCGGCAGATGACTTTCGTATACATAATATACATATAATTATATGACGTCATTATAGGATAATATTTTATACAATCGGAATTTTTTTTTTGTTCGTCTCCAACAGGGTATCAGATACTACCACCGCCAGCCAACGGCGGCATCAACGAGCCACAAGACTGTCCGCATTGCCGACGGACGTTCAGCTGCTACTACTCGCTGAAAAGACACTTCCAGGACAAGCACGAGCGGTCCGACACCCTATACGTGTGCGAATTCTGCCGACGGCGGTACCGCACCAAGAACAGCCTGACAACTCACAAGAGCCTGCAACACAGGGGCTCGGCGGTGGCGCTAAAACGTCTGATGAAAACCTTCGCCGTTGCCGCCGCCGCTGCCTCAGCAACCTCGTCCACCACTGTCGCAGCGACGCCGCCGCCGCCGTCCGAGTCTCCACTTGCAAAACCACAATCACCACTGGTCGTCTGCAACGGTTGCCAGTCGTCATCGTCGTCTGCCCCGTCACCGTCACCGCCGCCGCCGCCGCCGACAGTTACCGCAAACACGGTATAGGCGAATAACATAATAATATTATTATAATCTGGTCAATTGCTTATATTATGCTGTTGTCGTCGTGTCATGCGGCAAGTGTATTCTATGTATGTGACGTGAAGAGAGCAGTAAACAATATTATATATAATATTATTAAATATATATATATGTGTATATAATATTACGATAGCTTAGCGTATATATACATACATATTATAATATTATATCATTATCATTATTATCAAACACCGTTGTTGTTGTTGTTGTTGTTGTTGTTGCTGTTTTTGTTGTGTCGGTGCTGCCGCCACCGCACTGGAAACGATCAGAAATGAGCACGGTGAATACGCTTTCCGTTCATCCACCGCTCGTTTCCAGTGCACCAGGGGTCGAGTGTCATCTGAGTAGCAGCATCTTAGTAGGTTGTAGTAGTAGTAGTGTAGTTGTTAGTCTTATTTAATAACTGCAGTAGCCACGTTGAGCGTGGGGGTGGTTTGAACTTTTCGGTTTTATTTTAAAACTATTTTTTTTCGTATAAGTGTATAATTTTTCTGACTCGCTGAGTAAAACATGGTTTTTTCTCGCGTCATCTTCTCGCCAAAAAATGGCATTTTTAATGTATAAATTAATTGTATTGGTATAATAATTCTTGGTAAAACGAAAAAAAAAACAAAAAAACGTTATCTTATACATTTACTTTTTGCGTACTTGCAATTTGACTGACATGATTGATCTACATAATTTTTTTTATTATTATTTTAAATTTAATGAATCTATATAATTATACTTATAAGGACATATCATTATAAAATCAACAAACATTATTATTATTATTTCCATGTGCACTCGTAATGAGTTATTTCTTTTTTGTGTGCGGGGGAGCAACACATGCATAGTCCAAGAGTAAAACAAAATATTATAATACAAAAACGATATCCCCCTCTGTGTATACAAACTCTGACGACACACATAGTTTGATGAATGTTTGTTTATTATTATTTATTTAAATATCGATGGTATACTAGTCTTCGTTTTTTCGAATATAAGTTTTTTTTTTTATTATTAGTGTTGGGTGGGTATAAAATACTCCTTTTAGGCAAAACTATCAACAAAAAAATAAATAATAATAATAATAACAAAGTTAAATATACTTGAACAACCAACAACAACTGACTATCATTTTATTATTCGATGTACACAAAAAACGATTATAGGTTTCTCTTTTGAAATATTTTATTATTACATTATCATTAAACATGTGATCGGTTATATATTATTATCATAAACAATATATATATTATATATTATAATAACGAAGGGCCTTAACTTACTACTTAGGAACCTGAAATAATATATGCATATATTATTATTTAATTCGCATTATAATTACTCTATATATTTACACACACATTTTCTACTGTTATTACTACTTAATAGTTTTCGTTCGTTTTTTTTCCAATTATTTTTTACAGTTGATGATATTCGTTGTTACACACTACATATAATATATATAATAGGCTCTAACAAATAATATATTATATATACAGACTGACTGCAGAAACATTGGGTATTATATTTCATTATTTAGTTGTAAAAAAACAATAATAATAAAACACGCATTCTGTTTAAATATTATATTATCAATTATATATTTGCATTGTTGATCCGTTGAAATAATTATTATTATTATACTATATTAAATACAAACTCAAAGTAATAGTACATTTCACACAATAACCGCTGCCATATGTGATCAGTTTTTATTTTATTTTTATTGTATTTTTTTTTTCATTTTATATATATTATATATTATAATATTACATAATATGATATGCAAATATTTTTTTTATTTTATCAATGTACATTCCGATACCACTAACATGTTATTTATTTTGTACAATTATATACCCCTGTAAATATATTATATTATTAAGTTATTTGAAAGAAAACTGAAAACAGAAAAGAAAAAAAATTAAAATATTGTGTTTGTCCATTATCTATTTGTTACGATGACACTTGTTAGTTCAATGGTAACTTTCACAGCATTTTAAAGCACAAAGTTTTTTTTTTTTTTTTTAAAGTTTATTTTATTGACTTATGTTTTATTTTATTTTATTATTATTATTATTTTTTTGTAACCTTGTATTACCGTCATTATATAATTATTAATAACAATTTATGATTACATAAACTTAGTACAAGTTCAGTGTAAAAGGGTAGATATTGTGCCAATTTACGAAGATATTTTTTTTCTATGATAAGCGTATAAAAAACGATTTTCGAATAATGTAATATATAGTTTTGACTTTTGTCTGTATAATGAATATGATTATTAGCATTATACAATGCGAACAATTATTCTTATGTTTTGTAGATATGGTTAAGATTTATTATGATTACAGTATTATATACATACATATTTATTATATATGTGTATGATGTAAGTATGTATTCATATATAATGTATAAGGATATAGCGCACACACGATTTATATAATGAATTTTAGTGGCATTTTTTTCGTTTGGCCTGAACAAAGTCCGCGAGATTTACGTGTGAAATAGTAAATAAGAATCGAAATTCAGTACAAAATAACTAGAAATTTTCAAAAAATAGTTGAACTTGTTGCTCAATAATGTTTAGAGACGGTGTTAAACAGCAGTTTTCAACAAATCTGTAGTCTCACAGAACTTATATAGTTTTTTTCCATATTAATTTTTGTTTCACTTATTGGTTTTCTTTATTTTTTTACATATTATATATATATACAACGATTTATTACAATAGATTTTAATTTACAGAGTAAATGGGCATTAGACAATTAACATCCGTTTTCATTGGTATAATATTTAATATCTGTTCTGTTTCTCATAACCTGCAGCAGACAAATATTATTATTATTATATTATATGATTACTATTATTATTATTATTATTACAACAACAACCTTAACCTCTTTACCTAGTATCAATTTTTTATCAGGGTGAATACTTAAAAAGAAAAAAAATAGAACATAATATTATGTATAAAACAACGATTTTATTTTATTGTGCTACACAGTACCAATTATTAATTTTTAAACAATATTAATAATTACAATATAATTATTATTATTATACCTGTTTTTCAATATACAAGTATATATAGTATATATAAACCACAACGCCAGACAAAGTGTTAATATTATTATTGTATCGATATGATTTTATACATTACCATAGTCCATAAAAATGTATTAATATAATATATATATATATATTTAAAGAGCAATACTTTTCGTCAATGTTTTCTTTCCCCCTCTCCCGAAACTTGTTAAAAAAAATACTGGTTGTCGACCACGAACATTTTTTTACCGGATTGGTTATGGTTTACCTGCTATAGCTAAATTGTATTTTACCTAAGTAGTTATTTAGGTGTATCATTATAATTATTCACTGTTATGTTAATTTTTTACACACACCTACGTACACAAACAAAACATAGATTTTACTTACCGAATAATGTTTAATACGAATATTATATTGTAATTGTTTAGTACCTATATATAATATAAATATACATTTAATTTTTATTTTTCAGTAAAAAAAAATCCGAATAGTCAAAATATCATGTTTGGGGTATTTAATTATACACAACAAAAATAAGTACAATCATAATTTTTATGTGAATCGTCTGTATGTACCTTTTTCTCTTCAACAAATATTAATCCATCTACCTCAATAGCAATTGATTCTGCAATAATTAACGATTTCGTTTAAGTTACAAATTAATTATTAAAAATGATTAATAATAATAATAAAAAAATTATAATATTGTGTTATTATTATACATAAACATTGTAGCCATTATATACATGTATGACAAAATTGTAAAATTAATTAAGACATAAATTATAATAATGTTTAATTGCTATCATTTAAATATTTTAGGCGTACATAATATTATATATATAAAAAAAAAAATAATAAGAAAACCAAAACCATTAAAAATAATATATATTTTTAAATAATTATAACTATGTTTTTATTAGTCAAAATTATTGGATGTGTTGACGAATTTTTCAATGTGCAATGTGTATTTCATAAAAATTATGTACAATTCGAAAATGAATATACTGTGTTATAATATGTAAGCATATATGTACGATGTTGTTTTTGATTTATTTGAGCACCTTTTCCGGTGCACCCTCTCCGCACTGATATAACTGTCTACAGTTGGATCCACTCCGGCCAATCCTCTCGGCTGTTTCCAAACGCTTCTTGAAATCTTGGGGGATTTGAGGGTTTCCGACGACTTGTGCGATGGTTCTGTTGAAAAAAACCAATGACGGAAATACAATTCATCAGATACACGTCGTTGACACAATGACACTCGTTGTGTAATGAAAACCCTTAATGTTCAGTGTTCGCTTAATTATAGAAGTTCGATTCGAAAGACTATTGATGGTAAGAACTATGAGGAGCCCAAATGGATTTTCGTACCGACACATTTTTTCAATTTAAATTTCTTTTTTAATTTTTCGTTTTATAAATAGATATAGGTAGGTACAAGAAGAACGATTGAGTGCATAAGCGTGCTAAGGCATTACCGACAGGTTGGTAATAACTAATAAATAATAATTAAGCATTGCAAATGTATTAAAGGCACTTAAGTTCTGTTCTACAATTATTTGGGAGTGATAACATTTTTTCAACCGCTAACCACTATTAATTATACCATCAAACTCATTTATCAACCACGTAAGATATTCACTGTAACCTGAAATGTCACATAAAATAACATAATATTTGATATAATAGGTAGAGGCACTATATAAGCAGGGGTGACCAGCAATGAAAGCCACACACTATAATGAAAAATTGTATGACGAGCATGAAAATGAATAATACCTATTATTATATTAGTAAAAATGTTATAAGACGCGAGCCGTGGTTTGGCCACCCCTGCACTATTTAATGTCTACAAGTAAAAAATAGTAACTAGTTTAGTCACACTCCCATTCCTGTGGTTTATAATATGGAAGAAGATATTATGCATATTGATATAATTTATAACTGGTTTATTTTTGCCCAAATAGAATTACTAGTAACTTTTATTTTGCGTATTAACAGTACCTAATTCCTAATATCTATCACGTGTATATAATCTTGTACTCCTTAAAATTAGAAAATTTTCACAGAGTAATCAAATACTGCTTACACCGACTTCCCCGGTGGCATGCTTATGAGTAAGTACGACCTTTAGGTATGGAGTTCATTACAATGTTTTTCTCAGAAAATTGAAACAATTGAAAAATGATTTTTTAAAATTAAAAATGCAGTGGTCATTTTACAATCAAGAGATTAAGCTATGTATAATACATAATACAAAGATTGCGATAAGTGTTTGTTCTTCTTCATTTTAAACAAAGAAGATTAATAAATTTTTTTTAAGATAGGATTAAACATGAACTGTGTGGCTGAACACTTCAATGCTGGCCGTATAGAAAAAATAGTAATACGGGAAAATCCGTTACATCAACGCGCTCTGGCTGTACACTCATGACCGTTCTGAACAATGTGTTTTGTCAAATTACACCGATGCAAGTCGAAAATTATTATTAGGAAAAAAATGTTTACAACACCAATAGTCGAGGCCCACGGGTCATAACTTCATAAGCTTCCACAGACACTAACGGCAGGGAAGTTATAAATAATGAATAATCATTCAAATATATAGGTAGGTACTTGAATTCTGTTCCAACAACTATTCGGAGGAGGTAACATTATTTCAACCACTACTACAGGGGCGTCTGTTTTGGTGAAGATGATATAAACAACAACTTATGATTGTAATACATTTTGCCGGTCAGATCTTCGGTATATGCATTTCACGTCATACTATTACCATGTTAATAAGGGTGAGCCCTATATATTTTATGTATGAAGAGTGAAGATGACTAGAATAAGGAGACCGCCCGCATGAAAAAAAAAAAGTCCCGAAATGATTTAGTCTCTACTTTAACCCACGTAGTATAGAATTGTTCATGATTTTTGGAAAATGTATGCATTATTTTGACCCTTTTAAAATTGTATGGCTATCTTCCTGTATGCGCTCTACCCCAGATTGCGGTCTACCTGCGATTATTGGACGATTGTTGTATGCGCTCTACTATAAAATTTATATCTTTATTGTTGAATGGTAATAAATATTAGAACTCTCTTTTTCTACATCATATCATATTTTTTGATCGTATAATATTAGTCGTTGGGTGACAATACTTGAGTTCATACACGGTTTTATACTTTCATCACGTTACGTTCAAAATGTTAGCAATAGAATTTTACAAAATCATACAAAATGAAGAAACCGTTACTAATTTTTTAATTGCGAAAAATCTATTAGTAAATCTAGAAAATATATTATGCAATAAATGTGATAGTGAAATGAAATATTACATAAAAAAAGAGCGCGGTAAAGAAAGAAAATTGTTGAGGTGTAAAAGGAAAGGGTGTCAAACCAATATCCAAGGCACATACCCAGAGAATCGAAAGTTTATGGCGGCCTCTAAGACTGAAAATCGTGAAAAATATGTGTGGTACAACTCCAGATTTGCTTCCAAGGTATAATATATTATAATATAATAATAAAAATACGAAGGTAAATATAAATATAATAATAATTACAGGTATCTCATTGAAACGTGGTGGAGAGGAATTAATAAAAGTGACACATTTAACGCTTTTCTGAGGGACATGGCACAAGTATTTTAATATTTATTTAAAATATTATTTCATTTTTTTTATTTCATTTTATATTTAATATTTATTATTATTATTGAAACAAATAACGAGACGGCGACAAAACAATGACGTGCGTTGATATTATAATATAATCATTTTCATTATTATCATTAATATATTGTCTATAAATGAAACATAGTTGTAGGGTGGAAAAACACGGTAGAGCGCATACTGCAGTCGCAATGCTGCCGGTAGAGCGCATACAGGAAGATAGCCGTGTAAATAATTAAATTATACAATAATGAATAAATAGATACAAAGGTTGGGCCACGGGAATAGGGACAAAAATAGACGGATTTTTATCAACGTTGAATGTGAGTAGGAAGGTCTATATAAGCTCATTCGATCCGTCAGATAATGCCGTTTCGTTGTAACTGTGGAGCAGTGGAGTGTCGACACGTTTGTGAAAAACAATGAATCGGTAGTTAAGGTGCAGAGCGCATTCAGACGGTAAGACTCCGTCTTCTCGGGGGTTGTTACAGTACGTTTGGGTCCATTTTTTTTATTATTAACTGTCCCCGTTCGAAAACTATCTACCTACCACATAATTGTTTTCCCATTGAGAGCAGCACGTCCGTTGCTGAAGTAAAGTCTGAATGCGCGCTGCACCTTAACTACCGATTCATTGTTTTTCACAAACGCGTCGTACGCAAACACACGGCGAACGACCAGGGCTGGATCAATGTCGATAATCATATGTTATTGTTTGAATGGTGCGGTTACATGAACTATTTCTTGGCTTTGTCTCTTTTCATAGTCACACTGGTGAAGCTCTAGCTGCTAGTTGCGACTGTAATAGAATTTCTCAAACGAAGTGGTATTGATATTGCCAACTGTCATGCGCAAACTTATGATAATGCTGCCAACATGTCTGGAAGATATTGTGGACTACAGGCTCAAATTAAAGAACTAAATGATCCCATGTGCCGCACATTCTTTAAATTTAGTTGGAAATTGCAGTGCAAAAGAATTTTTAGAAGCTATAATTTTTTTTAATTATTCAAAACTTATATGCGTTTTTTGTAACCTCTGCGCATGTATGGGATGTATTATTAAGAAACAGTAAAAAAGTAGTAAGACTTTAAAAAGTCTCTTCAGTATACGGTGGTCTTGTCGTTATGATGCTATTGAAGCAGTAGCTGGTAATATTATGATGAGATATATAATACGTTATCTGACATTTTTAAAGATATGAATGAAAATGTTGACACTTGTCATGAAGCCAATTCAATTAAGAAAAAGTTAATAAAATTAGGAATAGCTTTTATGACTATTTTTTGGAAACGTGTACTAGGCAGTTTATGACTCAGTTTATGAAATATACACATATGCACATGTATAAATGGATAATCGTATAAGCTAAACAATCTAAACAAGGGCATGGTTCAAAATAACACATATATTTTCCTAAAAAAAACGTAAAAACATGAATAATCCCCATACTACGCGGGTTGAAGTACCAACCCTAGTGATCTCAGCTCATCTATCGAGTCGTGTACTCGTGTGACTCATTTTGGGGCGTTATCAGAAGAGGTGTTTGGTCTCCTTCTTCTAGTCTTCATGGTTTGATGTTTGTATCAACGGTCTGCATAATTGGTGTAGCCAACAAAAATATAAAAACAAATTGTTGCTTAAGAATTATGGATATTTTGTAAAACAGATACAGAACATCACACGACGTATGGGAGGGGCTGATCGCCTCATCGTCACTTCCCCCTCAGGGACGCGCCGCCACTACTATAATACTATTTTGGCATAGTAAATAGTAGTCACTAGTTCAATATTACACTCCCATTACCATAGTCCGTACCAAGGATATTATAAGTAGGTATATTATTTTAATTTGTAACTGGTATATTTTTTTATAAATCGAATTACATAACTAATATTTTACGTATCAAGTATCAACAGTTAACACCTAATATTTATGATACACATAGTCTTGTACTCCTGAAAATTACTAAAAATAATTCCTTAAGAAAAATACTCAACAAGTAGTTAACTATACTGCACCAACTATCCCGTTCACAAGCTTATCAGTAGGGAGGAGGAAACTTTTTTTGGTTATATTGCTGGATTCGCCATTATGACGTTGTATTCCTAGGAAGATGCTGGAAAATTTCAAACTGACTTGTCCGAAATAAAAATTCAGTTGTCTATTTTCAATCGATATATTTACCAATATGCATAGATGGCCAGGAGTACCTACAACATTCTATTCTTTTTCAGTTTAGTATTAGTGTGTTACAACTTACAATTATAAATAGTAGTCACTAATTTAGTCAATCTCCTATTCCCATGGCCCATGCCAAGGATATAATAAAATAAGTAAATTATAATAATTTATAACTGGTTTATATTTATCCAAATCAAATTAGCTTAGTATACCACATTACGCAACTTTTATTTTACGTTTTAACAACTAATATCTTTCGTGTGTATAACCTTGTACAACAAAATAAAAATATTCTAAACATTTTCTAAACATCAATTGACTACCAATTGGACACGTGTTTGACATGGGATAATAGTTATTAGTTTATTACTTATTAGATTCTGAGCGTTGATATTGTTGATAAAGATGTTTGTTACATAATAATGTGTGTCTGTTTTGTTCTGTGTCTGACACGCTTTTAATAGTAGTAAAAATGCTATAATTTATGAAAATTACAATAATCATAAAAAACTATTGGTGTTTGGTAGTAAATTGTTTATTCTTGAGTTCTCAAAATAAATTGAGTTGGTAGGTATAATAAAGTATCAAATGGATCTAGTTGGTACATCAGAAGGTCCTTTTAAAATTAATTTTTAAAACTAAAAAAAAAAATTATGCCAAAACGAGAATATTAACGCACTACTTATTATCATAACAAGTTTTCGACAAAATCAGTTCTTATGGTTTGTTGTAATTCAAAAATAAATAACTATAGATACTTGATATTTTCACAAAATATTTATATTAATTTATTATTTATATTATTTTAGTCTTGACAAATTGACATAATAAAATTTTAAAAATATTTCGGCTGTCTCTGGGTTATGTAAATTTGAAATGTTCTACTTTTTTTAGAATGTTGATAACATTTGTTTTTATAATTTTAAAAAAGCTTTAAACGTAATACAACGTGCCTTAATATGTTGTTCAGTGTTCTTATAAAAATTATAAAATATCTAAAATATAAAGCCATGATTTTTTTTTTTTTGAAGTATTTCAAGTTTGAACTTTGACAAGATTGTAAATTTCAAATTTCAAACGTAAAATAACAATTTATCCTAAACCTTTTTGTTTTTTTTTTTTTTTAGTATAAATACCGACTGTTATAATACGAATGAACTGTAAATTATATTTCAATGAACCCCTCCATGCAGGTATAACACATATTTGGAAACTTACGTGGTCAACAATCGTTTGTCTGTTTCTGACTCGTCTGGTCTATTCCGAGACATTACTTCGCAGATGGACCTCTCAATGCAAGTGGACTTTTGATTGTAAATACTCGCCACTATGTTGCACACCATACATGCTTTTTGATCCACCCCTTGTCGTTCCTTGTGGTTGAACTGCGTTAAAAAACAAATTAATTTAATACCGTAAGTCCGTAACTGATTATTGATATAATGTGTATGTAGTTATAGGTATCCCGTAACAAATATTCCCACTCCCACTGAAATTTCCCCATTCATTTATAATTCTTTTTTTTTACTATTAACTGCTGCCGAACATAGTAATTGCATAATTATAGTATAGCCTCTATTATTTTTAAGTAAAGTTGATTAATGGTATCAGTTATACATTTAGCATTGTTTTTCAAATTTTGAGTGTTGTGACTTGTGAGTGTATACCTCATCATTTATGAGGTAGTTTACTACTGTAATAGATACATTTAATTTGAATTCAATGATAGAGTAACATTATGATAAAAATTTCTAAGTGGTGACGAGGAAAAAGGAAAAATTTCTTTTGACCTTACAACATTTAAAATATCAAAAAATGACTCTACCCGATATTCTAAGATAGGTACACAATTATTTTATCAATCGATTCGTATCTAAGTGAATAAAAACACTGAATGTCGGTTCAGAGATTACTTGTACGTTAGCATAAGAAATGTATTTATAACTGAACAAATGTCGAGCCTTCTAGATAAGATACAGGCCACTTGGAATATTACTTCCGTTGTCCAACGTAATTAAATTTATTTGTGCAAACTTATATTTAGTGGCCTCACATTCTTATATTCCCACATTCCCACCTTGATGATTATCTAACTATACATTGATTGTTAGGATTATCTAATTCATTGAACTGTAAGTTTGTAAAGTGTAAGTCTACAGTTCGATTTCTCGAGTGCAGTTTTAAAGTACTGCGTAGAGTTCATGGGGAATATAATTTTGGGTAGATATAGTGAGAAAAATTGCAAATTAAGGAAAATCATTTTCATTATGGACATCTTAAAAGGTGTCAGTATATATTATATTACATACATATTTAGAAATAAAAATACGTCAATAGTTCGTCACATTTTGTATCAAATTTTGTAAAATTCACTGTACTCTATTGTACTAGTGCTTGTGAAATTATTTTTCTCATAGAAGTGTGCATAATATATATTATGGTACATTGGTACTCGGTACAATTATCTTATCTATGGTAAGAGCATAACTTTTCACTTCGAATCATCGCAGTGCCCCCCCCCCCAATATCATGCGACAACCTCATTATATCAATGTGGGTGATGACAAAAAAAAAGTTTCTGATCTAACGGTGTTTTACTGAACCAATGCAAAATAATGAATAGAATTGATAAAAATATAAGTGATGACGTCAAACGTATACGAATATACGATGCACTACAGAAGTCACTACTGCATTCTACAACTTTCTTAATGTATTTAATACGTTAGAATATTTACATGTTAAACGACTGAATGCGAGTGTGGTTCTGTTTTTTTTTTTAAAACATATATACATGCAGTTGTGCAGTTATCCTGGTACTATACGATATTATATTTTTGGTCGATACTAACAATAAATAATATACAAGCAGATTTTTATTAATATTATTTACATATTAATATTCATGGCCCTGCTCTTAATACTCGATCCAGGAGAAAACGAGTGATGTCGAACGTCGGTGGTAAAACCCGTTGAGCTCGTGGAATATAACTTAGGTATAAGTGGTCTCAAAAACACGAAAACAGACTGTGAAAAAGGTTTTGTGGAAATTTGTTTATTATCAAGTACTGTTACTTAGAAATTATTTCAATGTGTAACTCCTTATTGAATTCACTGGTTTCTATATATTATACTACAACGTTGTTATAATATAATATATTATATTTTCGTGATTATTTCATGTGGGTAGAAAAAAAATATTCCAAAACCTTTCTGTTCGTCGATTTTTCACAAACACTGGTGGTTTTGAAGCCTGCAATTTATCATGTGTGAAGCTAATTATGTATATATATGGTTAATTAAATCGTAAATACTGTGCACATATCGGTTGGATGGATAAAACCCAAATAGGCACTCCTCTAACCTCCGACAACACCATTGAATCGTGCGCAGATTGTAAGAGATTTACCGGATAGGAACGCCATAAATCGTGTTTTTTTTTTTCGTAAACTACAAATAGAAAAAATAGGTCGTCTACGCGCCGGTCTAAAAGATGTTGTTCGTAAGCTGTGCCCCACGAGGCGGAATAGTAATATTTTTCATAACGGAATCGTTAACACATACATTCCCATTGTCATATCTCGTACACGTACTCATATATTATACAGAGTGATTTTAATATTATATCGTTTTACGTAAGATTCTAATTTTTCAATAATTTTAGTATACTATTCATTATGCACAGTATGAAGCTGCAGAGTTGTCTTGTTTAAAATATTTTGTTTTATAATACTGTTTCCAATAATTAAATTAAAATCTGTCCAGAAAAAACAAATTTAAATATACATCAATGGCGCACCAATTGTCCAGTAAAATAATATAAAATTCCACAGTTTTAATGCATTTGTTAAATATTTAACTAAATGACAAAATGCATGAACTAGAAATTTGGAATTGTAGTTTTGCTAATGCTATAGCCTATGCCCTATAGATATGCTTGGAAATTGCTTATTTCATTCCAAGGCATACACTTTATTTGACACACAAGAAAATCATCAAGATATTCTAATAAGAGTAGTTAACTCGGTGATTACTGATTGGGTAATTTTTATACATTTTTACATTGGTGAACTTTCTTCTTAATGGGCGTAGTTGGCATATATTCCCTACATAGGTTGCACTTACTATTGTAGCTCATCGTCGTGCCCGCTATATATACTGCTTGAAATATTGTCCACGGATTGCCTGCTTAAATAACTAAATTGCAAGTAAATCGATTTTAATTTGAGGTGAGTAGCAGTCTTGCTAAACACTCAAACCAAGATTTTGATTTTACACTTTTAACTAACAAAAAATCACAAGTTATGTGACGGTACGAAAAGCATTCAATCCACCGTATGAATATATAGCATATACATTAAACAAATAGAAACAAATCATTGCGAGGGCAACTCTAGGGGGACAGCTAGTAATACTTTACAATATATTATTTAAACATTTAAAATATCGATGAGATCAACAAAGTTGTTTGCATGCATAAGAAGTTTTTTAAAGTATTCCTTCAATTAGTATTCTGAACAGAATACATTTATAATGTATTTTATTTATTTATAAATTTATAAATTTGTAAAAATTATAAATAATAAACTGTGGGATGTATAATTTTTATTCATGAGTAAATATTAACGCTAAAGTAGTATTAAATGTATAAAACAAATTAAAAATATGGGGGTTGTCACAGGAAATCATGTAATTAAAGACTGAAAAATAAAATTTAAAAAAAAAAAAAAAAATATTGTTTTTAAATATTTGAAATCATACATAAAAAGGGGGGAAGCAAATAACCACACAGTTGTACTACAGTAGAAGTCGACTGAGTAAGTGTAGGCAATACAGGTGTTAAATTTAAATTTCTTCGATTTTCTTCAACAGCATCTTTTCTGGTAGGAAAGTGAATATAGTTGGTGCTTTTAGGGGTCAAAAGTAAAAAAAAAAAATGAGCGTAAGCCCGATATAATTTTTCATGAGCATCTGAAGTTAAAATGTTGATGAAATTCATCAAAATCATGAAAATTTGCAAATTATTTTATAGTTGAACAATTATAAAAAAATTCAATGTTTATAGCTAATCATAAATAGTTCATAATGTAACCAATAAATCTAAAAATATACACAGGTATCTTTTATACCTATATATTTAAGTTCAAATATGGAAGAAAATATATATTAAAAGAAAGAATAACGTTTTGAGTTATTTAAAAATACTATTCGTGGGTATATGAAACTTTTAGAGTACCTATATTATTATATTTAATACATGAACAATGACATTTTAAATTGTAATTTTTTTAGCAAAAATGAATTTTACCTGCTGTTGTATTAATGCATGACAGTAAAATAAACTATGGGATCACAATATTATATCATCAAATATACTTGGTAGTTAGTAATACTAACAATAGGCTGACAGACCGTCTTGGCTCAGAATTGTTTTTTGTATACAATAATTTTATATCATTGAATTGAAATTTAACAAATTCATTACATTGACTCTCTAGACACCTAATGAACAGTAAAGCGTTACCCACTTACCGGTTTTTTATTATTCCAGTCTGAAGAACTTACGAAAAATACCTTAGGTACCTATATTAAATTATTTAGCTTTTTGACCAAACTAAAAATATTTTGTTAATAGTTATATAAAAAAAAAGGTGGGCAAGTGGGTGTCGCTCTGCTGTACAGTAGGTTACAAGTGGGTCACTGTATAATGTATGATACTAAATTTGAATTCAACGATATAATATCATTGTATAAGAAAAACGATTCTGAGCGGAGACGGTATGTCAGTCTAGGTATAAGACATATTTTATACATATCTATGGTATTAAACAAAAAATTGACCTATAATACATTCCAAATTAATCATATCACAATATCCATTAGGTATATATAACGCGTTATATATCAACAAAAACCGTGATACTATCATAAATATATAATAGTAGACTTTAGAAGTTTCAAGTACCCACGAATAATATTATTCAATCACAACAAATTAACTAAAATAGTTATTCTAGGTTTTTTAATATGTAATTTCGTCCGAATTTGAATTTAAAATGTCTGTAAAAAATAACTGTGTTCATATATTTTTTAGATTTTTTGGTTACAATATGAACTATTTATGAGAACCTTTGTTTTAAATTTGCAATCCTTAGCTCTAAAAACTGAACATTTTATAATTTATTAACTACAATGATTGATAATTTTCGAGATTTTGATAAATTTTGTCAAAATTCGATCTTTAAATGCTTATAAAAAAAAAATTGTGCCTATGTATTTTTAATATTTTTCAATTGCTATTGTAACAATATATCAGGAGCCTTGTATTAAATTTTTACACTTTTTGGCCCAACAGATAAAACTTTATTGATATTTATAGAAAAAAAAACTAAAAAAATTGAAAATTGAAAATATCCGTAAACAGCTCAAAAAGAGTCAAAATATTTTCTAAATATTTTTCTAAATTTTGTCAATTTGTGAACTTTAAATGCTTAGAAAAAAAAAACTGTGACTAAGGATTTTTAATATTTTTTATCTGCCTTTGGAAAAGTATACTAGGAGCCTTTTATTAAATTTTCAAGCTTTTTCAGCCAACAAATAAAATTTTATTGATATCTTAAGAAAAAAAACTAAAAAAAAATGGAAAATGAAAATGTCCCTAAACAGTTCAAAATAAATCAAAATATTTTGAAAATGTTATCGTGTATAGAAAATGCAAATATAAACAATCGGTGAAAAATTCATGTATATACGTTCATTTGTTTTAGAGTTACACCAAAAACCAAATTCAATTTTGTGAAAAATCGATTTTGCGTACAAATTCCCGTTTTTCTTTAATTTTTCTTTTGTTAATCTTGTCGCTTATGAAAACTATTGGGAATTTTAAATTTTGACCTCCCAAAAGTACCAACTAGATTCACTTTCCCATCGAACAAGTTACTGAAGTTGAAAATCGAAGCATTATTTCGACTACCAATCGTGTACACAGACACAAAAATAAAAAATAAATAAAAAATAAAAAAAAAACACACATCATTGTAAAATCAATACATTCATCGTTTCACTCAGAATCTAAAACTAAAAAGAAAACGTCAAATAAACAGCTCAAAAAGAGTCAACATTTTACCATATGCAAAAAAATACTAATATGAACATTTGGTGATAATTACGAATACCTACATAATATTGTATTCGTTTTAAATTACAACAAAATAATAAAAATCGATTTTGTAGAAAACTGATTTTAGGTCAAATTTCCAATTTTTTTCAAATTTTAGATTTTGAGTTGAGCGAATGATTTTATTTTGAGTTTCTGCTCAGGATTGTATTTCGTATGCAATGATTAATATTATTGACTTTTAATATAACACATCCATTACAACGGCATGCTCGACAACTACTGTACAGCAGAGCGGCACCCATTTCTTATTATTAAGAATAATACGTTGTTTTATTTTTACTTCCCAACCGTTCCATATATATATTTATTTTCCTACCAGATAAAATATTAAAGTTGAATATCTATCAATTTTTTCTTCTATAAATTATGTATAAATCCATACAAAACACGCATCATTGTAAAATAAATACATTCATAGCTCCGCTTAGAATCTAAAAAAACAGATATTGACCGTGAAAATAATAACGACTTATCACTCTGTATACTACAGGTCACGCGTGTACAAATACCTATAAACACGGTGTGTTAAAATACATGACTCATTATAGTTTATATTATTAAATGCCATAGGCGATGGACCCAACTCATAGATATTCCAGTATAAAGAATACCTAGACATATAATATACAAACGTGTATTATAGGTACTGTACTACAGTGTAATAGTTTACAGTTTGAACGTTTGGGAACAATAAAAACACTTAAAATTGTTATGAGATTCGGAGTATACCTACTTTTATTACTTGATTACATGCAACGATTTAAGATCAATCATTTTGTATTGTAATGTTGCAAATTATTATAAAAATCTATATTATACTTACATTCTGTCAAGTGTACCTAACCATATATTAATATATTGTTACCAGTTACCACCATTAAAAGTTTAGGTGCTACAATTTTAGGGGCACCGTACACATGCACTCGCATTTACACATATGTACTATTTTACCAAGACTACATTTCTGAGACTAAAATGGCTGGATAATAATTTTGTATATTTTACCGGTAAAATTTGTTCGTATAAAGGTCAACAATTATACTATTTTATGTGTATGGCTATGGTATTTATGACTATGCTATTTAGGTGACTGTAAGTATAATAATAATAATAATAATAATAATATTTTAATGTATAATAAAGTTAAATAGGAAAATTATTTTTGATGGTGTTTTATACGGGTAGGTCGTAATTCGACGAATACATTAAAAATTAGATGAGAACAAATAGACGCCACTGAAATTGGTTGTCGTCTACCGCGCGAATGCGTGACTGGTGACGATAAAAAAAAGAATACATATCTACAGGTAAATAATATATACGGTATATAAAATATAATTCGTTCAGTGCTAGGTTGAATTTTTGAGTGCCAACGAATTCACGATTGTAGTACCTACTGGCTACTATAATAGACTATAGCTAACCTTCTCAGAGTAGTATACAATTATTTTATATCGACGCCGACCGATTTTTACACAAAAATGTAATTCTTATACTACACATTTCGTATACTATATTATAATAATATTGCCCGTCTCACTAAAAGAGATCAATATCTGTTTCGTTTCGCTAAATTTAGAAACTTTTACTTAACCCCCATGTCTTTATTTACAAACAATTATGACTTTATTTACTATAATGTATTTTTTCATAATAAAAAGTGGGTAAATATTTATGTATATGCTCAAAAATGATAAGAGATTTGGTATTATTAAATTATATTAATTGTTTTCTACGCATCGACTACGAAATACGAATGCCCCATTAATTATAAATTATAATTTAAATACCTAATAAATCGGTCATATTATCTAGCGGAATTTGAGGAAATACTAGTTCAGGTTACGATTACTTTCTTTTTAAACCGAAGTATGAAAGATTTTAGTGAAACCGTTGTCTTAGAGGTTCTAATATTATATGAATTCCCGAGATTGTATTGTTGTTATTCGAAAAATGGAATCGTATGCGAATCTCGTTGTGGTAAATGAACTATACTGTTCGGTGGTCGTTTCCAGTGATTTAAAAAGACCATTTTCTCCTACAAACACGATCAAAATATCAGAAGGCTATAATTGTGTGGGTGCAGTTTATAGTTGAGTGGACTGACACGATATGGCTCTATTAAGTGCCTGATTTGAATGACGCGTCTGCAACAGATGTACGCTGTATAGTTGTACACATGTATGCAGGAAGTGGGGCGATATTTCAAGAATTCCGAGTGACGTGGAAATGTGGAATATACCTATAACTTGGTCTTCGTGGCCATTATCGATAATAATATTTCTATACATTTATTTTTTGCAGTCATAAACACGATATATCATTATAATATTTACATGCGGATGTGGATGCAATTCTCCCTACGCATTTGCACCCCTTTGTGTTCCACAAATGTCACTCTACCAATATTGTGTATACACATCACAAATAATAAATACAACTATGACGTTTGGAGTGCATCCTTAGAGTAGTAGAGTATGTTTACCTTTTCCAAAAGCGATTTGATCGTTTCCGCGGCAATTCCTCCATCACTGTAGTTCACGTCTCTTCGGCGGCGGCGGCGGCGGCCTATGTGACCCAACTGCAACAGCAAAGGGGTTTTGACGAGGGCTGACAGCACTCCAAGTAGAGCGATTCCGGCCAAAGGCCACAGCAACGGCTGTACGTTTAACTCTCCGGAGTTATGGACCTCTCCACCGCCGTGATGATGATGCTGCAGATGAGGGTTGGGATGCTGATGATAAATCACCTCTGGCGGTGGTCCGTTGCTCTGAAGGTGGTGACCGGCCTGATCGTAAGGGCTGAAGTACTCGGGTCGTTCGTCGTAGTAGTAATCCCTAGGTGGACCATAAGAGTTTTCCGCCGGATATCCGCCCGCCGAACCACCACCGTAATCTGTATTATAAGCATGGCATCTCAGCATCAGTACAAGGTGTATTATTGTGTTAATGTGCGTTAGTTTTGAGGAGGACTGCCAAAAAAAATGCCTTTATGTAAAACCCGAACATGTCATCCATATATGCATGACATAATATAATTGACCATATTTTCAAATACTTGGATTTTGTATACCATTTAAAGGTTAGTAAATAAGTAATAAGTAATAAGTATTTTTCAAATACAAATCACCCTTTTAATGTAAATATTAAATTGTTAACCACGAGATTTTTTTTGAAAATTGTTATGTATCTAAAATCTAAATTAAATCCAAACGGTAGGTACCTAATTAATATGTACTATTTTACTAAGCATAAATCATAGTAATGTTTAATAATGGCTTTACATAAAATATAATATAGATGTAAATAATATGTAATAATATGCAATCTACCATCTATACTTATTGGCCATTGCTTAGACAATTTGTACAGACATAAAATTCTAGTTTATTCATATTAATTACTATAATTTTCAAATCACCATATTATATAGCCTTCATATCGTTGAACCTATTATCATGGACTATTATCCTTAGCAGGTACTTATATAGTTTAATAATTCTGCTGATTCAAATTTTGATTATGTACCTACATGAACATTTTATAAAAAAATAATCTGCTTAGAAGAAGAAAAATAATTTTGTATCGACACAGGACGACAATCTTTAAATGGCATAAAAAAACCTAAATATTTGAAAATAATGGTATTCCAAGAATAAGAATTTAAATAAATGAGTTATTAAATGAAAAGACGGTGAGCGTGGTTGATGAATCACCTTGTATTTATGCGTCATAATATATCGTAAAGGGGTAAAACGAGATTAGCAAACTCGGCAGACGTTAAGATTTTGCACTCTTGGTAATTAAAATAAAATAGTTTTTTAGGAATTCTCGTCGCTTGTAAATATATGACCGCACCTCCGCAACGAGCACAACCGCCCTGAGGGAATGTCTGCTAGTTTTTTATTTTTATTTTTTATTTTTTATTATTATTATGGTACAATCGGGTCCATAGGTTAAGTTATTTATACCAATGTTATTAATTATACATATACCCGTCGTCGTTTACTATTTTATGTATATTATGCATAGGTATAGGTATGTATAAATACGAGTATGTTCAGCGGTTTAACATGTTGGGTATACACGCACATACATAAGGGGTATTTTTATCGAGTCGTTGCTGAATTTATGGCGATTAAACCGGTTAAACGTGCTTTGCGGTTTTCTAATATTTTGCATAGGTACACATCAAGATTGTTATTGTCACAGCTCATTTCGAAATTACAGTAATTAGGAGGTACCTACACTAAATTAAAATTAATAAACTCTGTTGAAAATATATTATTTTCAAAAACCACTATTGCATAACAATATTATTAAGTATATTATAAAACCATTTATCATTTTTCGATAACAGTATATTGGTATTATAATAATTGGTGTTATCGGCAGCACTTTCTATCAACCGATCGAAAATCACGAAACTGGTTTTAAATAAATAGTTTTATTCCACAACAGTGCACTATATCGGGTTATTATTATATAATAATTACATATTATAAATTATAAAATAAACTGCAGTTGTATAATACGATCGTCAATGATCGTCACCAGACGCTACCTACCTTTTCCTGATACGCGGTTGTCCGAACCCGAACCCGTAACCCGGTAACCGTCCACTTGGTTGACTCGAGTTTGGCTGGTTTCCAATCCGTCGACACTATTCCGCAGATTCGCCGGCGACGAACCGTTTGTGGATTTGGCCACGACGGCGTCCGCAAGCGAGCCGTAAAGTCCGCAAAGTCCAAAGGCCCAGACGCAGTGAAACGCTGTTGGTCGGACCATTTTGCGTTGGTATAGATAATTAAAGGACGACGACGAGAGGATGCTGCGAAGACTATAGTAGACACGACAGTGTGACAGACGACGAACGTAGGATAGGTAAGTTGAAAAATCGCGTGTGCATGATGCGTCGTTCGCCGTTTCAATTCGGTAACTCTTCTTACGAGTATAATATTATATTGTTCAGAGTGTCGCCAAATTTCATAACGTCGGCCGACGGAAATTACTATCAAATCTCATTGTTTTCAAGCGCAATTGTATTTAATAACAATAAATAATAACTATACCTATCGTATCGTCGTATTTAAATCGCGTCCACTTTCCCCAATTACAGCTTTTTTTCGTATTCTTTTAATTGACGATGACATTACGTAAATTTAATACGAATATGTAATCGTGTCATTACGCAGAGTTCTTGCGTTTATATCTCAACCGTCAAAACATTTATCTTATAATAATATAATGTCGTTACGGTCTCCTCGTCGCGTTTACTTCACCATTACTATATATTATACATTATATATAGGTAGATATGATACAAGCACATCGTAATGAAATTATTATTGTTATTTTCTTCTTTTTGTATTTTTTAAAAATTATTTTTTGAATTGTTGTGTACAGTTCACACCGCTCAATACATAATATACAGCATGGACGGAATACATGACTGTACATGATGATTCGTGTTGGCTAAAATCGAGTTTAAAAAATGTACAATCACAGCTAAAAATAAAATCACTCCTAAAAAGTCATAGGTAAAACATATTGATTGTGCGAGGGCAAATTCGGTTAAATTATTACATTATATTAATACCTATATAGTATATATATGCTGGGAGTTTCAGAGGATTTGCAAGGCCCAAGTTAAAAATAATAGTGAGACATGGTGTAAAAAAATTCCAAAGTCTAACCTAATTGTCTATTTACAAGTGTCTTTAAAATACCCACTTCTCACTGTTCATATCAATTGATTGCAAGCTAACGAACTTCAAAAGTATTGTTCACCATCTAGACCAGCGGTTCTTAACCTGTGGTCCGGGGCCCCTTGGGGATCCGCGATACTCATGTGGGGGGACCGCGGCAGCCTCAACACATAACATACATCAATAAGTGACAGAGTGCATTATTACAATATTATTGGATTATTTTTTTTTAGGCAGTTTGATTTGTAATTCACTGACATAGGCGGTACTACGGGGGTGGCAGAGTAGGTAACTGCCCCTCCTGCGAACCGTACCTGTATTAATACATAATTCCTTAAATCTCGGTTTTCTAACTCTAAAATATATATATTTTTTTTTTCAATACGAAATTTGTTCCAAAATATCTGTGAATGATAACACACACTTAAAAAATATTCTATTATTTAATCTATTCTGTGATTTTATTATCAACGAATCCTGATAAGGTGATGTGCGTCAAAACGTTACAACATTGCGATAGATAAGAAAAGATTCGAATTGTTCAATTTGTTCAATTTTTTTAGTTTTTTTTTTCTATAAATATCAATAAAGTTTTATCTGTTGCGCCCAAAAGTGTAAAAATTTAATACAAGGTTCCTGATATATTGTTACAGTAGCAATTGAAAAATATTAAAAATACATTGGCACAATTTTTTTTATAAGCATTTAATCATCGAATGTTGACAAAATCTCGAAAATTATCAATCATTGTAATTAATAAATTATAAAATGTTCAGTTTTTATAGCTAAAGATTGCAAATTTAAAACAAAGGTTCTCATAAATAGTTCATACTGTAACCAAAAAATCTAAAAAATATATGAACACAGTTATTTTTTACAGACATTTTAAATTCAAATTTGGACGAAATTACATATTAAAATCAATATTAACGATCTTTGTTTTTGTTGTAATTTAAAAAAATTATTCGGGGATATATGAAACTGAAAAATCAAAATATTATGACCTATCCATACAATCTACCATAGTATAAATAATAACAATTATGCTCATGATAAGACTGTGCATATTTTAAGGAATTTATTCATAAATTCCATATAATTTAATATTTTAATACCATAGAAAAGTATATAATATGTCTTATACCTAGACTGACATACCGTCTCGGCTCAGAATCGTTTTTCTAATACAATGATATTATATCATTGCATTCAAATTTAATACCATTCATTATACAATGACCCACTTGTAACCTACAGTACAGCAGAGCGACATCCACTTACCCACCTTTTTATTTACAAAATTATTCAATGAGTAAATTGGAAGGGGTTTTATTGGGGTGAGGGGAAGTCACCCATTAACGACCCCCCCCTTCCCAACATATAGTTAGGTAGTTTAAATATTTTCTGGCCCCCCCTGCCAAGAGGGTCTAGTACCGCCTATGTTCACTGATAATGCCTAATTGTAACACTTAAGATGTATTTCTTCAAATGCAATAAATGTATTATTAGCTAAAACAATAATGTTATATAAACGGGTAAGTATTATATAATTTTTAGGAAGTAGGTATTACCTAGCACCTACGGTTAGATAAATAAAGATCAAAATCAAAATGTTATGTGAATTAGGATTATTCTAACAATTTTGATAAAAAAAAATAATATTTTCCTAAGTAAACATGACAAAATATTTATGTAATATGTGCAACACAAAACTAATAAATCACATGTCTAATCATTCATAAAAAAAATATAAAATTCTTAGATACCTATATTATATTAAATTATTATAATAACATGATGGCTAGTACAGGACCTGGACACATGTTATAATATGTAGATAATGCATAATATGCAATTTTAGTTTTTACCACAAATACATTTTTCTCTTCGAAGCCTAAATGTTAGTGTGTTGTTACAAGAGTTTTAGAACTTTTTTGGGTGGTCTTCAATAAATTTCTTTAGATTTTAGAAGACATTTTACAGTTATTCAAATGAGAATAAACACCAGATATCATATTTTACATACATTTAGACAAATTAATTTTAAATTTCCAAGCAGTTACTAGTAAATACAGCTCAGTAGGTACTCATAGTCGAATGAGAAAATACGAAATTAAAAAAGCGGGTAAGTGGGTGTTGCTCTGCTATACAGTAGGTTACAAGTGGGTCGTAATGGATTATGCTAAATTTGAATTCAACGATATAATATCGTTGTGTACGAAAAACGGTTCTGAGAGGTGACCGTTTATCAGTCTAGGATATTTTATATTCTATTTATATTGTTATTAATTTATTATTTATACAGTAGGGGTATAGCTGGTAATGTTGAATTAATATTATTTGCATACTATCATATTTAAATATTTGTATATAATAATATACAAGAGACATTTCAAGTACCCACGCATAATATTTTTAAATTATAACAAAATAACTAAAATCGTTATTCTTGGTTACTTAATATGTAATTCCGTCCAAATTTGAACATAAAATAACTACAAATAAAACTGTGTTATTATCGTCGCTTCCCAAACGGATCCCGTCTATTGTTTGATTATTCCCAAACGGCTGACGGTCATAGTGGTATACCGATTTCAGGTTGATATTTTGATATACTGTACACCGTTATATGTACTTTAAATTATTTTTTAAAACGGAATACCGAAAATATAATGATAATATCGAAAACACGGAAAATACTCAAACATTGAACATATTATATAATATTATATCCAACATCTATACCGAAATTAATTATATATATAATATTATACGTACTCTTACTCAGCGAGTATCATAATCGCCAAAGCTTGTGCTTTATTAAATAATGCTTATTGTGTACAATAATAAGTCTTTTAAATATGTACATACATCGGTTATGCGATATGGATAATGGATATGACACACAATCGTGTCAGCTTGTGCAGTTTGTTTGAACTTTAGTCTGTTCACGATATCATTTAATTCACAGAATATAATTTTTATAATTTACTTAGAATATAACCTTAAAAAACAACAACACATTTTTAACCACACCTCTTTTGAGACAGTCCAATGTCTATATGAAGTGGGAAGGAATTTGTGTTGTAAAAACCGGAGCCGTTTGGGAATTTACCTGATAGTAAAACTTTTTTCGACGGGAGCCTTTTAGGAATTGACCTTTTTGAAAACGGGAGCCGTTTAGGAAAATCCGGAGCCGAATGGGCTATGCCCGTTATTATATTTTTGAGATTTTATGGTTACAGAATAGTCTACTTAAGTGGAACCTTGTTTTACATTTTAAATCGGTAGCAATAACAGTTGAACATTTTTAAAATTTTTAACTAGAAAATAATTTGTACATTTTTATTTTGATAAATGTTGTCAGAAATCTAAAATTTAAATGCTTATAAAAAAAAATAGACATAATATGTATTTTTATTTTTTAATATTTCTCAACTACTATTGCCACAATATATCAGGAGCCTTGTAATAATTGTTGACCCAACAAATACAGTTTTATTGACATTTATGGATTTATGTCCGCAATTAGCTCAAAACAAGTTAAAATATTTTGAAAATGTTATCAAGTATAGAAAATGCTAATATAAATATTCAGTGAAAATGTCATATATCTAAGGCCATTTGTTTTAGAGTTATATCAAAAACAATAATTGATTTTAAAAAAACCGATTTTGTGTAAAAAATTCATGTTTTTCTTTAATTTTAATTTTGTTTTACCCTGCGTTTTCAAATCCACCAACTAGATTTCCTAGCTACTACGTACACGATACTGTTGAAGAAAATCGAAACAGTTTTACTACCCCAAACAGTGATGACAGACACAAAAAACAATTAAATATAAAAATAATAAAAATACACAAATCATTGTAAAATCAAAACATTCATCACTCTGCTTAGAATCCAAAATGAATACACTAAAATTAAACATGTCTGTGAAGCTGGTTAAAGTACAAGTTACAGTTGCCACTTCCAACAAGACGGTAACAGCAACACTGTATATTCTATTGCCTATACACATATATTTAAAGGGGTTTTATGAAACCTAGTTATTTTTCTAATATTATTCAAGATTTAAAA